AGTGTTGGAAGTGATCGGGTCTTATCTGCCAGGGGGTTTGAACTCGAGACGTTTTTTTTCTAATTTATCAACCATGAGCTTTTTGCCGACTCGACCACGCCTCCATCACAATTAAGTATACGTGTCAACTGGTTATGCGCCATTGAGGAATTGACTCCGATTTTAGCCTGCTTTTCTTTTTGGATTTGCTTCCATTACCTTCGTCCAACCAAGAACAAGCTACAAGGCAGCAGTTGTTTGATTTTAGAGTTGTCTCTCCTAGAAGAGTGGCTGTCCCCAGATAACGTGCCTCATATACCCAAGACTTTGAACTCGAGACTTTTCGGTTTAGGAACTGTGTTGCTGGGTACAGCATAATGAATTCAGCTTTAAAAAGGCAGTGAAAAATATTAGGAGAACATAAAAAAATAAAGAAGACTACATGAAGACTACAGGAAGTGAAGTGGTGGACCACTATCCTGGATACCACCAATGAAAGGTCTTCAAAGTGACATTGAAAATAATAACACTGATCATAGACCTACACCTTTTGATACAGTGGCATTATACTAGCATTTAGTACCGACAGCAGTGTTATTAGTTATTAGCACCCACATATTCAGCACTAAGTACCCATAGCATTGATATTGAGTACCCACCACTAAGGTTGAGTACCCACAGCAACGTTATCCAGTACTAAAAGCGCCAGAGCTGAGTACCCACACCATTGACACCAAGAACCGACTGAAGTAACACTAAATATCAGAGCTTCAACACTTAGACTAATAGCTTTAAAACTCAGTACACATGGCTTCAACTCTCAGTACCCACTGTTTCAGCATTGATTACCCAAAGCGGCGGCACTATGTAACTACAGCACTGTCCATAGCAGTATCATTCGAGTATAACAGTAGTAGCACGTACTTCCAAAATCAGAAACATTGGGTACCAACATAAATAGCTGAGTACCCACACCAGTGGCACTGAGTACCATTAACATCTGCATTGAGTATGGAAGAATATACAACGGCTGAACGCTGTCATTTAGGACATTATTTGTTCGCGTGTTATGTGTGTTTATGGGACGGAGTGGTCTAGCGGTAGAGAGCTGGACTGCTAACGCGTAAGTCTCGAGTTCGAATCCGGGTTGAAATCGGTAGACCGTCCCTGAGTCCATCCAACTCTGATGGGTACCTAACTCACGTTAGGGAAAGTAAAGACGGCTGGGCATAGTGCTGACCACATTATCTCTCCATATGCCAAGGTCACAGAAACATGTGAACTCTACTTCACTTGTCCCATAGACCATCAGGTTTAAAAGGGAAACTTTACTTTTTACTTTACTTTTGTGTAAAGCAAATATAGGTCAAATAAGAAATATATAGCCTACTTCTTAATTAGTTGACCTTGAATTGGATTTCAAGAGAACAGCATTACCATGGGCAACAAAGTGGACTACATTAGCATAACAAGTAAGATACCAAATCTTGAGCTACAATATTATCATATCAGTCCTTGATCACATTAGAAGCAAATCTTTGTGCCGCCACTAACATGAAAGCTCTAGCTACTGTCCCACTTGTAGAAGACTTAGTCAACCAGACACGCACTCTAGGAAACAAGTCAGCAGAGTGGAGAACTAGGTCAAGGGCAGCTGAGCAGAAGGCAACTCTAATCCAGAATCAAGTTACTAATCTTTTCAAAGATGCTAATGAGACTTTAATCATAGTGAAAGTCTTTGATGTCAAGATAACAGGGTCGAAACAAAAATATTTTGACTCCATAGCCAGAGCCAGAGCGAGCCAGAGCCAGAGCGAGCCAGAGCCAGAGCGAGCCAGAGCCAGAGCGAGCCAGAGCGAGATCCAGATCGAGATCCAGAGCCAGAATACTGTACCAAAATTAGAATTGTGTACGAACTTGTATTATATGAATAGCTTCTAGCTTTCATTCTATCATCATTGACTAGATTTATTTCAACATATCTCACTTCATAAAACGAAGGAAAAGGAAAAACTTTGGACATTGTTAAACCCGTGTTTGCTTGATAATTGTATATTGTTAACCCCTGAAAAAGTGATGATATCTTTACCATCTTATACAAAAGGATGAGCGCTCCGTGTTAAATAAACATTTGTTCTGACATGAATTGTTATTAAATACAAATCTAACTTTTGTCAAATGCTTTACTAATGACAAATGCTTTTTTTAAACCTTGTTGATTTATAGACTAGATGTATAAAGCGATTAGTAGTTAAAACATGTTTACGTCCAACATTTAATTTTAGAGATATATACTTTTTTTGCCCGCCATCATTTATTTAAAGGGGTATTGTAAAACGGGGATGTAAAAGGTCAGATCAGATGCGTAGCGATGAGGTGTGGGGGGTGCGGATCGCACCGGGTGACACCATTTGGGGGGGGGGGGGGGGGGAGGGTGACACTAAGGCAAAAAATAGCAAAATATATAGAGAAAAATTTGGGAGGGGTGGTGCAAATCGAAAGTTTGAAAGTTTGTCCCCGGGAAGGGTCGCTACGCCCCTCTGGGGTGTGACAAATTTAAGTGCCGCTCCGGGTACCACCCGACCTCGCTACGCCACTAGGGCAGATACATAATGTATTTACTGTACATGTTAAGTAGTTTTGCAAAATATGCTGTTTAATTTTATGAAAATGAGAAACCTTTTTTTAGGGGAGAGGTGTGACGTAGCCTAGATGTTCATAACGAAAGTGTGTAGGCACGGAGAGATTGTGTGTGAGAGTGGCCCCCCTTTGGAAGTGGTGTGCAAGCGTAAAGTGTGTGAACAGTAGTGTGTAAGGAATGGGTGGTGTAGCGTCGGCTTAGCGTAGCATGTCCTCATTTTCTTTTGCTGTGAATGTTCACTGTTCCTTTGTAGTAGTTTGGAAATTATACTCGACTGTTACAATTTCACATATGTGGATTGTGTTTTTTTTTTGTGTAACACCTGGCCCCAAACGAGCCAAAATTAACGGGAAAGCTGAGTGTAACATATATATATATATATATATATATATATATATATATATATATATATATATATATATATATATATATATATATATATATATATATATATATGTGTGTGTGTGTGTGTGTGTGTGTGTGTGTGTGTGTGTGTGTATATATTTTATACTTCGCTATGATTATCATAATCAGATTCTAATCAACTGTAGTGTCCTCCCTGAGTAGTGCCTCTGAGTGATTTTTTAACAAATACCACACCTGCGTGCTGCTCACGAAGCACTCCCCTAAATTAATTGTATGTAGGCTAAGGGTAACTAAACACATGTAAGCTGATACATGTGTAATGGAAAAATAATGTTAATGCAATTTTTAAATATTAATTAACTATTGCGATCTGGATCTTCCTTAAAACGATCAATTCATTTGATAGCCCTTCTCACTTTAATTAGAGACAGTTAAACAATTATCCTTAACTCCGTACCCCTCAACAATTGAAAATATTACCTGACGATAATTTTAGATCTGTTGAATACAATACCAGAAACATTCTCTTTTTTAACAGCTGTAAGATGCAGTACGTTACCAACAGTACACAACGGATTATTTGAATGTGATGACCCACAGTATCACTACAAATCTATGTGTGCTCTAACGTGTAGTGACGGCTACGAAGCAGACATAATAGACTCAATTGTGTGCCAGTATAACCAGCAGTGGTCAACACCAGGAAGCTGCAAAGGTAAACTCGTATCCTTATACTTGTATGCTTGTCTATCTTTCTCTCTGTCCGTCCTTCCGTCCATGCCTGTTGGCTGCCTGCCTGCCTGTCTGCCTGCCTGCCTACCTGCCTGCCCGCCCGTCCGTCCGTCTGTCTGTCTGCCTGCCTGCCTGTCTGTCTGTCTGTCTGTCTGTCTGTCTGTCTGTCTGTCTGTCTGTCTGTCTGTCTGTCTGTCTGTCTGTTTGTCATTCTGTCATTCTGTCATTCTGTCATTCTGTCTGTCTGTCTGTCTGTCTGTCTGTCTGTCTGTCTGTCTGTCTGTCTGTCTGTCTGTCTGTCTGTCTGTCTGTCTGTCTGTCTGTCTGTCTGTCTGTCTGTCTGTCTGTCTGTCTGTCTGTCTGTCTGTCTGTCTGTCTGTCTGTCTGTCTGTCTGTCTGTCTGTCTGTCTGTCTGTCTGTCTGTCTGTCTGTCTGTCTGTCTGTCTGTCTGTCTGTCTGTCTGTCTGTCTGTCTGTCTGTCTGTCTGTCTGTCTGTCTGTCAGTCCTACTGTCTGTCTGTCTGTCTGTCTGTCTGTCTGTCTGTCTGTCTGTCTGTCTGTCTGTCTGTCTGTCTGTCTGTCTGTCTGTCTGTCTGTCTGTCTGTCTGTCTGTCTGTCTGTCTGTCTGTCTGTCTGTCTGTCTGTCTGTCTGTCTGTCTGTCTGTCTGTCTGTCTGTCTGTCTGTCTGTCTGTCTGTCTGTCTGTCTGTCTGTCTGTCTGTCTGTCTGTCTGTCTGTCTGTCTGTCTGTCTGTCTGTCTGTCTGTCTGTCTGTCTGTCTGTCTGTAAGTCTGTAAGTCTGTAAGTCTGTAAGTCCGTAAGTCTGTAAGTAGAATGGGTGCATTGCAATCATGCAGTAAACTGATGCGACAAATACCCGAATACCCGAGTGGTTATTGGAAACAATTAGCAGTGTGTTAACGCTGGCATCTATAACTATACAGAATGTGAGAAATTTTACGTTACAATAAGCAAACAACAAAGTAATTATAGAGAATTAGTATTAAAAATTATCATACACAGTAAACTACATTTTTTCAATAAGGAAAAATGTGTTATATTTAAATTAAATCCTTTACAAATAACACATGTATATGTCGCTTTGAAACCTACCTTTAATGTAATAATGTATCTACTTTAGATGCAACACCTCCTACTGTTGACTGCGGACCAGACATTGAAGTTTTCGCGGGACCCCAACTGGCTAAGGTTAATGTGACCTGGGACCCGCCAAAAGTACAGGACAACTCTGGTTTACCAGTTACTGTAACAAGCGATGTACAATCAGGATCCTTGTTTGATGTGGGCACCACACCTGTCGTGTTTACTGCTATAGACAGCTCTAACTTAATCACTCGCTGTTCTAAATTGGTTCACGTTAAAGGTGAGATAAATATAATAATAAAGTAGTGTTTATTTGGTCTTTTTGATAGATCACCAAGTGGTAAAAAGCATTGTGGTCAAACTTGGCATAATAACGGGTAGCTTGATAATTAAAATAGATGCGATTTTTTAAGAATTATGTATATTTATTAATTACTAGCTTCGATGCGATCAAAGAAGAAACGAAATAAGTTGACAATTGCCACGATAACATAATATTCGATTTGCATAATTTCATTTTGTTGAGACGTGGCTGTCATTTTAATATCTAAATATTAAAAAGGATGGTTTTATTTTTATTCATATATTCTAGTGTTTGTGGAAACGCTGCATGTTTTGTTTTCTGTGTAGTATTCCGGCCTATCAGTTTTTTTTTTACACTTGATCTGGCCACATATGGAAAATGCATGAAAGCATGGCTTAACTATGCATGCTGTCTTTAAAACTAAAAGTTAATTTAAACATTTCACTTCAGTGTAAAAGAGATTGCAAAAACGAAATTCAAGACCCACACCTTTGATGTAGTCAGTAACAGTTTTGCTATTTAATTTGTCATGAAACCATAGTGAACCACATCTATGTGGACCCAGATCAAGATAGCCACTTCGAATGACAAATCAAGAATATAGACTACTTGTATACCATACAGTTTTCCTATTTCAAAAGCAAAATATATTTAGATTTCAAAGTTAATGATATATACATATTTGTTTTCGTAAGATAGCAATTAATACGCTTTCTAGTCAGACGTTGTGATGATTACATTGAGGGGAACAACTCATTCGTAAACTGTTCTCATGGTAGGTAACGCTTATGGATCTGTCTGTACTACAACATGTCAACAAGCGTATGAGCTGGTGGACGTATCAACACAGACTTGTCTAGAGAACCAGACATGGAGTGGTGCCAAACCAGTTTGTCAACGTAAGGTTACATTTAGATTACATATGAAACAATGTGTAAGTTACATGTTATTGTGCCCCAGTATAAATATATACATTTACAATATATTTAAATATATTATGTAATCTATATAAGAGTTAATTTATTAGGGCTAGTACCTAACTCCAAATCTTTTTTATTAATATTAGCAATCACTTTTAAACTGCAGTGTAATTTTGACATTGTTGTTTAAATAATTATGTAAAAACTCAGCCAATGCATTTTAAAAGTATGTTTACAAATTAATTTAGCATTTATTCCAAATTAATTAAAAACTTAAAGTAAATTGTAATGCAAGTGTAGCAATATTAATTATAAACATACTTAATACTAACTCTGCTTCTTTAATGTACTTAAAATTAATGTTTAAAACAGAACTACAATAGTGCGAATAAACGAAATTCACCATCATATTATCACGTGACTTTGAAATACACAACCACAGAACGAAGAAATAAAATTTAAAACAAAAAATAAACAATATTCATGTTTATACTCTATACATATACACAATACAAAATGTAAACCCACAGAGAGTCTAAAATATAAAAAAAAAGTAAAAAAAACAGCAAATAAATGCGACTACAGCGGACAACAGGCGTATTCACATACAATGGAAAATAGTCTTGAAACACGCGGTCTGTCCATTAAATATTCACAATGGCCGAAATTAGAACTAATACAATTTCCACACACACACAAATGACAGCATATCATAAAATCAAAGCCATTGACTAACTTAGACTAACATTAAATGTGTAAGCATTTTTACAAATACACTACGCCTCAATCAAAACTAATGCCCTTTATTTATCGTGGAAGAAACTCTGGCTACCATTACGGTAGTGACTACCATTAAAAAGAAAGATAGACTATCGTGTGCATCCAAACCAAGTTCGCCCTACTTTCACAATGCACTAAACATCATTTCATAAAAATGTATCTTCTAATAATGAAACAACAATGCACATACTAGTATCTCAATAAAATTAATAAACTAATAAAATATAATAAAACCTAATAAAACAACTAATAACATATTCATCACTTACTATTATAGTACCACTTCCACAAACAAATCCATCATTCACCGCAAACTACAGCTATTTGAAAGTAAAACAGTATATAGAATACCTCAGCCACGCGCATATAAAGTTAAGACGTCTATCTAATCTCCACCCAGCTCGATCATGTGTGGACCCACCACCTGTAGCAAAAGGCAACTTCACGTGTCCAAATGGTCAGAGATACCAAGATGTTTGTTCACTGAACTGTGACCAAGGTTACACTGCCCAGCCACCCCTGACTATCACGTGTAACATTAACGTTGAGTGGTCGCAAACTGGATCGTGTTTAGGTGAGCAATTTTTTTTTAAATCAAAGAACTGTTGTATGCAAATAGATTATGGTTTTTTTTTGTTGTTGCGAAAATGCAATATCACATTGCTTGTTGCATGCAGATAAATTGCAGATTATGTAAATTTATTCACAAACCATAGAGGAGCAAAAGAAAATTTAATATATATTTCAGACAAAAATATTTGTAAAGGCTTTTACTTAATTAAACATATTTCTTTATATGTAGACACTCAAGCACCAATATTTCCTGATGGTTGCCCAGCAAGCTTTGAGGTTGAAGCCGCCAGTCTAGGAGAACCTACATATGTGAACTACACTCTACCAAAATCTACAGACAATTCTAATGAACCTGTTGTTTTACTTGGCAACCCAATCTCCGGCTCAGCTTTTGACATTGGCACAAGTACAGTGACTGTAACTGCCACAGATAGGCAGGGGAACTCAGTTAATTGCACATTTGATGTCATCGTTAAAAGTACGGAGCTGATTATACTTAAAAAAATAGTTTGAATACATGTAACATTTTAAATAATATAAAATGTAGTAATTAAAAAATAACGACAATAAAGTATTGATTTTATTGAAAATTTATTGACAGTGGTAAACAACTAATCATGATAAAAGTTTGACTTTTATCAATTGGCTGCAGCTCTCTCTAATGTACTCTGTTTTAGTCAACTCTGTTCACTTTAGCACAGCAGATATTGTTTCTCATTCCACTGTCCTTTCCCAAGATTGTTTACATCGGCATCATTATCTTTCCTCTTTGAGTTATTGTCTAACGTTTGTCTCGCGATGCTGACCTCTTCTCGGGGCGTGCTCGATCCAGACACGTTGGTGTCAATGATAATTCTGGTTTTGGTTTGCCATAGGTTTCATTGAAAATTATGTTGGACTATCTTATCTTAATGATTTGAGACGTAGACCTTTATTTTTAACAGTGCATTTTGTTGACATTTCAATGTGTAATAGTTAGAAATTTAATACATTAACATTAGACCTCTAACAGCTTTGGCAATGGCAAAAAAAAATATTGTGTCACCTTTTAAAAATGCTTACAGAAAGCTTTTGGTCTTTTATAAAATGTAAACTATTGTTCTATTAGCCACCTCCTGTGAAGCACCCAACATAGACACATCCGGCAAAGTCCTCATCAACTACAACTGTCCCAACCAATACGTGTATGGGGCCAGCTGTCTCCTCAACTGTACAGATGGTAACCCAATCACAGGTCCCAGCTCCATCAAATGTGACAAGCTGTCTACAGGACTTCAGTGGGTGTGGCCAGGGAATATCAAGCCATATTGTAACGGTAAATGACTATATATATATATATATATATATATATATATATATATATATATATATATATATATATATATATATATATATATATATGTAACACATCACATATGGTTACCAGCCAGGGGAGGGAAAATATGAAGTTTTAATTCATTGAGTTGCGGCCCCTGTGGGGCTGTGGCCCTGTTGACTTAGTTGTTTTGTTCATGCTCTGGTGAGCGATGTTACCTGTGTTCCATGTCATGTGACATGGGACTGTGGGTAGTTTCGTGCCTAGCCGTGTCAGTCACACGCAAGCCTGCTGTCTGTGAACACAGTGACCAAGATGTAGACCTAATGAAGGGCTACAGTTTTTATCTTGGCTAGTTTGTTTTCTTGGCTACGACTGGGGACTCAGTTGTCCCGTCCAGCCTTTTAACAGCTTTCAGGACGTCCTCCACCTTTGGACTGGCTTCCCCTGCGAAACCAAATGTGCCGCGAAGTTTGAGCGCCAGAAGAGGTGAAACCCCCTTGCAGAAAGTGTGATACACCTTCTTCTGGGCATCGGCCTCAGTAAAGATACGCTGCTGGTTTAGCCTCGTCATCTCTGACCACAGTCGGCAGAGAAATTCCGACGCTGACTCCCTTGGATGTGGAGTGAGTCGGCTGAACTGCAGATACCTGTCTTCGGCACATCGGGTGTCGCCAAAAGTGCTTTGTAGTAGGCATAGCACTTCCTCTGGACTCGCAGCTTGCTTCACCCGCTCATAGGCAATCCCTCTCAGGCTGCCTAAGACGCGTGGCAACGGGTTCTGAACGCTGGTGTTCCGCAGCAAACATTACACTTGGGTTTCCCATTCCGGGAAACTCACCTCCCCTCCTCCAGTGGGTGGAAAGCCGGTGAAAACGCTCAGCTTGCTGTGTGCTGGAGCACACACCTCCACCGTCACGGGCCGCTGCGCACTTGTCTTCATCGCCGCCATCTTAGCCGTCAGTTCGGCCAACTCCTGCGATAACTTCTCCAACATCGGATCAATGTTTTCCATCCTACCTCCCAAGGTCAAGCCCCACGTTGGGCGCCAAATGTAACCCTCACTCACTGGGGATGCTTTTAGCCACTGAGGTGTTGTGGTTAAGACGGGCTGACCCTGAGATTAAGAACACACTGACACCGACAGTTGTTGTCAAGTACTCCTTTATTCACAGCATCGAGCCATGACGGCGATGCAACACGGTAGTACGACGAGAGAAAATACTGAAGCAACAAGAAACCAAGAAAACAAACTAGCCAAGATAAAAACTCTAGCCCTTCATTAGGTCTACATCTTGGTCACCGTGTTCATAGACAGCAGGCTTGCGTGTGACTGACACGGCTAGGCACGAAACTACCCACAGTCCCATGTCACATGACACGGAAGACAGGTAACATCGCTCACCAGAGCATGAAAAAAACAACTAAGTCAACAGGGCCACAGCCCCACAGGGGCCGCAACTCGATGAATTAAAACTTCATATTTTTCCTTCCCCTGGCTGGTAACCATATGTTTTACACACACACACACACACACATATATATATATATATATATATATATATATATATATATATATATATATATATATATATATATATATATATAAATTGTAAAGCAAAACGTAAGCGGGGGAGGTTCAACTTCATTCACCACAGTCCGGTCACTTTAGGTCAATTATTCTACACAGCGTATACCTAAGTGTGACATTAATTTCGCGCTACACAATTTAGGCCTGTCCCGTTTTAGGTGGTGAGGGTGGGGGGGACCACCTCAGAGTGAACATAGCGTCAGTTTTTAGATGACTGTTCTAAACATACATATACAATTATACATATACGAGCCGACCCTCTGCGTATCATACACCGCTATTTAGTTTTTTTTTTTTTTTCTACTTTTCAGTAATTTATAATTTGTGAATTCGACAGTACCAATGCTGCCATTGAAAATATTTGCTTAAAAACACTAACCCCCCCCCCCCACGTGAAAGCAGCCTCCTCTTAGTTACCTCCTCTAAGTTTAAAATCGTTTCAAACTCAATTATCTGCCCCTAATAGCCGTCACCAAACCCGTCTCTATGATTGTAAAATGTAAACAGAGTGAACACCGCTCACCAGAACATGTGGGGGTGGGGTGGGGGTGGTAGTGATAGTGATAGAGATGAAGAGAGGGGACTGCAAAGGCGCGCTTGCAGCTTGTTTTCTAACTGATCCCAGAAGAGAATTATATATATAGATACTGATTCAGAAATATGTTTAAATAAGTAACAGTGGTATTATGACAGTAACACAATTTTACAGACGGGATCAGTGTTTCTTCCAGACTTTTTTCTCCGGTTGGGAAAGCACTTGAAATTTTTTTTTTTTTGGGGGGGGGGGGCGGTAGACTTTCTTCGGGGGAGGGGGAGGGGGGCGGACACTGTTAAAAGTATATATTTTCTCTATAAATTATATAAATTTCATTTCGTTCGGGGGGGGGGGGGGGGGGGGGGGTCGGTAGAATTTTTTCGGTCTAAGCCCCCCGAAGAGATGCCTGGAAGAAACTCAGTACGGAATGTAACCCACCCCCCAATACACCTTGTCTACGCCTTTGATTTAAACTACTATTAGATAAACTGCTAAAGGGCTATTTGTGTATTCAACTCCTAACGACTTGCAATTAGTCAATAACATATTAAATTTTTATTTTAGAAAAGTCATATATGTTGATTATTATTCTAAGACAATACACAAGGCCTCAATATTTATAACTCAGCTCAATCCTGCAAAAAGCTGACCAGCCCTACCAATGGCGCCTTGGCATGCGATGTGATAGGTGGTGTTGGAAGCGAGATTTGTTTCCTGCTGTGTAACATCAACTTCACCTACCCAGCATCAGCACCTGATCAGTACACCTGCACTAAAGGCACATGGAAGCCAAGTGATTTTATTCCAGGATGTACAGGTGAGAAATTTTGAAATGTGCATACTATTATAACCTTTTAGTAACAGTAGCTTACATTTAATGTTTGCACTATCATTTTTACGTTTTTGTAAACGGATTCTAGAGGAAAAATTATAATTGTGCAAAGAAACTCGAAATTAATGTTTTAATTATTCTATTTTTACTTCTTCTTCGTATTAAGTATCACTTGTCAAAATTCTTCAAAGCTAACAATACATTAAATTTCTACACAAGGTGAACTAGCATTTTTTATTTTTACATTTTTTTAAATAGATCATATCGTCACTATAGGGCTGGTAAGTAGGTCACCAACCAGTTCTATGGCTCATGCAGGTTTTATTGAGCCGTAGAACTGGTTGGTGACCTATTTACCAGCCCAAAGCGCCAATTATTGTTTGTAAGTCATGTAACAACTATAATCATTCGGGAGCTGAATGCATTAATTTAAAATGTAGATACGAAGTTAATTTTTAACTTTTAAATACAACTTGTGGTACTTGGTCAACAAACGCTATTGACAACCTACAATTCAATGAATGACTATTTGGTCGTTTGTTTTTTTGCTTCTTTCTAGGAAGAGTGGTAACAAATTGGCGTATTCAAATAAGATTCAGAGACATAAAAAGCTTCAATCCTGATTAGTATTATGTATTTGTAACTCAAAAGCTCTATAATTGTTATTGTAAAAAGCATGCCAGCCACTATACTATATTTATGTATTGTAGTTTTTAATGTATAGTACATTCACATAGTATGCTTAATATATGATGGAGTATCATTATATCATCTACCAAAATATAAACTCTGCTTCTCTATTTCAGTTCGTCGTCAGCCAGGCACAGCATTAACAAAGCCAGACTTTTATTACTTTACTCAAGAGTGCAGCTCCGACAGTAGCGAAATTAAACACAATTTTCTACTTTTGTTGGAAAATGTGGTTTCAGATGCTTGCGGTGCTGATGGCTGCACTATAGACACAATAGAAGTTACGTGTGGACCTGTAGTACAGAGAAGAAGGAGAAGAGCGGCTAAAACAAGGATGGCTCGAGAGACTGAACAATTTCAGTATAAGGTCTATACTATCTTTTAGTTCGATTATGTCTTCTTTCTTTAAAAATTAGATATTAGCTACAGCAATGGCTTTATATCATAGTGATTATAAAAATTTAAAAGTGTGTATTGTATCTTAAAATCATTTCATCCTGAATATTTTGAATCACTTAAGATTCAAGCTGTAATAAGTCTTGGAGAATACAAAGATCAAAACAGCCCATCAGAGACACAAACCTATTACAAGACACTTGTAGAAAACATCAACAGTAAAATTGTAGACGCTTCCGACGCTGGAAAATTAAACATTCCTGAAATCGGAAGATTTGATACCTTCATATATGGAGACAGTGTGTTTAGTTGTGAATCAGGAACAGTCATTGTGTATAGCACTATGTCTTGTGGTAGGATTAAGGAAATAACTTTGTACTCAGTATAGCTGTTAGTTTTAAATTTTATAATGAGATTGTTTTTAATTACTTTGGATTTATTTTAGTATATTCTTTGTTAATTTATAAAATATTCCCTAAAATTAATCCAGAATAACATATATATATAATGTTTAGTATGTCCTTTTAAATACAAGATAGATGAAGGAATGTATGTGGTGAATCAGCTTTACTTTCCCAGACAAGTTTATTAGTTTTTGTACTTGATCAAACAGCTGGCTGTGGACCTGGCTTTACCTACAACAACTCAACAAAAAAATGTGATCCATGTCCTCAAGGAACCTACCAGGGCCAGGACATATCTTATACTTGTACCTCATGTCCTGAAGGTACAACAACAAGAAAGAGTATGTCCACATCTGTCATGGATTGTCAAAGTATGTGCATTTATATTGTTTTACAGAATCTGCATTTTATACTAACTACTGCCAGATGATGCTTCAAATGTCTAAAATGTTCAGTCAGATAATTTTAAAGGTTAAAAAAAAATGGAAATGATGTATATTAAAGCGCATTTTTTTTTCCTTTGGTTAGGTATGGTATAGGAATTAAAGTTTTTGAGAATTTTTTCTAGCCATTAAAATTCCAGAAATTGATGGAAAATTAATTAAACTAAAATATTCAAATTTATCGTTTAACGTTTTTTTTTGTCGTTTATTTATACATATATATATATATATATATATATATATATATATATATATATATATATATATATATATATTTGGGATGATTAGCTTTAATGCCTCAACAAAAAGCAACAAAAAGATTTAAGACATACATAAGAAGATATTTGATAACATACCATTCCATCTAAACATATTTATTAATGTTTCATAGGCCTATATCCGCCATTCCCTATTTTATGTTGGGAGGGGGGAATGGAGGGGGGCGAGTGGAGAAGGAATGGGATTAAGCATTTACAAAACTGTGTGTTATTATGTTCTACTACATTTAAGTTTTAATAATTTCTTTGAAGTAAAGTTTAAAATGTTAACATTTTATGTCTTGCAATTCCTACGCCATGTTTTTTGTGTTACAGACCTCTGCTTACCTGGCCACTTCTCATCCACTGGTATCCAGCCATGTAACTCTTGTCCTAAAGGAACTTTTGCCTCTCAGTATGGCATGAAACAGTGTACACTTTGTCCATATGGGATGTCTACACTGTCTACTGGAGCAGCAGCAATTACAGAATGCCTAAGTAAAATTTATGTTTAATAAATGTTTAAATATTTAAACTGTCTACGACATGCTACAAATTAATTCGACATTGTTTAGCACAATTCGTTTTTATGTTCACATTTAAATCTCTCATATTTTTGTTACATTTTCAGCCCATGATATCCGAATGAATGAAAATACCTCGAAGCCTGCCATCCAAATATACGATGATTTACCAAACAAATTCACATTTATGTTATGGATCGCTGATGTTTCGAACATGGACACCTCTTATTTGATAATATCTCTAACAAATTCTTCAAACCAAACTTCAGCATCCTTAATTATTGACACCATAAGTATACAGATACAGCGTCAAACTAGTAGTTCTACAAGTCACAGAAAAATCAAGTATTTAAAGTTTTATAAAATGACTACATACAGCACACTAAACTTTAAAGTTTAATGATACTATAAAAATATGGTCATTGGCTAGCAGAGCTATGTAGATACCTCGGGGCAACTCCATATATCCCCATTCATATGTCTAAATAACACGACACAAAACGCAATTGAGGTTAAAACATTGACATATTTTAGGCTTGATTCGTGTGAAAATTGAATTTCGGTGGTTAGAAGTTAGGGGACAGGTTGTGGGGGGTGGGAGGGGGCGGGTCTACCCCTTTAGGTGTAGCGTGTAACTGTGCATTTTACAAGGTGTCTCAAGTATAACCCTATAATGTATAAGCTCCTCATATTTTGGTAAAATAGTAATTGGAACAATAATTTTACAGACTATAAATTAAAATAAAACACAACTTTAACACAATTTATAAAAATCATTATTGGCATAATTATCCTAAATTATATTACACAATGTATCAAAAGCAATAAATAATTATTGTTCTTATTATGTTCATACAATTTTTAAAAAGTATGAAAAAGAATAAATTGTAAATAGTGCCCATACAAATTAAAAAAAAACAACATTATAGGAATGATTACTCTACAAATGAACAAACATTTCATCATTATGAAAATGGGCATAATTATCTTAAATATGACCCAAAGAGATTATAATAATTAAAATAGGCATAGTTCTCCAATGGATGTCCTTAAACTGTATTGCAATGAGCATGTGCATTAACTCTTTAAAGATGCCCCTACATTATATACCATAATGTAGGTATCTTAGCTTTATGATTACCTTTCATATGTATTATAATGAATATAAGAATAATTACCTTAAAGATTCTCCTAAAATATATAAATCGAAAAATGCGGTCTACTTATTTTATAATGACTTGGACTTTAATGGTCTACTTAATAGATGCCCTAAAATATATAATAATGAATCATAACAAGCTGCTCAACAAGATACATTCCAAGTATTTTTAAAAAAAAAATATCTCTGTGAGATAATCTCGTGATTATTTCTAAACCTCAAACATCAATAAAGATGACTATACAGTGTATACTCTAAATCTAAGAGATGCCCTATACTGTAAGTTAAAGACTGCATTTACTAAGGATTTGACAATTACACTCCCCTTCATCGATGCTAAATGCAATTTGATTAGGTTGAGTTTGGCAATTTAAGATTTTCGGCTCGGATCTAATTGAAATATTAGATAACAAAAATTACCACAATGTTTTATAAACTAAAATAAAAGCATCACATTTAAATGCATAACCCCTCCCCTACAACTTGATGCCTGTCTGTCCCGCTTCTCTGCAAGCCACTGGGTATATGACTATAGTTTACTGTTATATTACTGATAGTTAATTATAAACCTTAGGGTAGTAATAATAGTTTTGTCTATGTTGTCACTCACAGGAAGTGGAATCATGTGGCTGTTGTGTATTCATCAAGAAATGCAACTCTCTTCGTCAATGGTCAAATGATGGAAAGTGTAAATGTCACCTCAGTGTCAGATCTGAGCAAGAAGGATATTTACTTTCAGAGCTCTTCAAATGTTAAATGTAGGAATAAATCTCCTTTCTAAAATATTATAACAGTTGTATAATATCAGTATAACATTATACAGAAATCTAGTTAAAATATACATGATTTGCTCAAAAGATTAAAAATGTACCTATAAACTTATTGAAACTTTTTGAAAATTAATATTTTAAGTAAGAGTAATTTTTGTTTGGTTAAGGATCATCTTCGGAAAATTAAAACTGTTATGTTGCAGAAATTTTATAAAACACACATTAGTAGAAATGTTAAAAATGCTACAAAAATTGTAGCATTTATTGTTTGCATTGTTTTAAAAGTATACCTTATCTTTTGTTTTCTTGAACAGCAATACTTGTGAGTGGCATCCAAATGACAACAACAGCCTACACAGAATCCCAGATTAAAGAGTTCAGCACTTCATGTAACAAACAAGTAGACAATCATGTGCTTGCATTTAAACCATGGGAGTCTCTCATCATGACTAATAGTACTTGTAATGGTATGTATCTGATTTTTTAATTTTTTTTTAAAATGAATATTGTTCTTTTATTTTTTAACAAATCAGTTAAAGAAAATAGAAATAAAAGTACAGAGAACAATGAATTATATTTATCATACAGCCCAAATGAAATCTGTTTACATTTCGCCACTAGTATTCCAATGTGTTTAAAAGTAACATATATTATAAACTATTTTGCCTAATTTGTAGTATGTTATTAAATATAAACTTTTTTTTTTTTAAATTTGAATGCTATACCAAAAGTTTTGCTTAACATTACTAATACATTTATTTTATTGTAAGTGATACGTTTTTCTTTGCTTATAATGCTGCAAACATTTCTCCATCAGACAAAGACCTGTGTACTGGTGAACCCTGTGGAGCATATGGCACCTGTATTGCTGGGACTGATGTACTCACATGTGTATGTGATGACCCATGGACAGGTGACCAGTGTGAAAATGCCCCAGATTTCTGTGTTGGACATCACTGTGAGAATGGAGCCACTTGTGTGAATCAGCCACAAAACAAAGGCTACACATGTTCATGTCCAATCGGATTTACAGGACTACTTTGTAACGCACCTAATGGTAATTTTTAAAAATGCTTTTTAAGATTGTTTAAAATATAGTATTATAAATCACGGCTTAAAAATTTATGTTTTCTATTAAAACTTTAATAGCAACTAGAGATTTGTTGTTAAATTATTGGATAACATAACAATATCATTATTATACTTTTGAAATGTTCGTTTTAAAATGGTTTTATGAATGTCTTACTAAAATCTGTACAAACCAAAGTTATCACAAAATAATTTATTTCCATTTTTATTATTGGGGTTTTTGTTGCTATCTTTTACAAGACCCTGTGAATGGAGGCTGGGAAAACTGGAGCCAATGGTCAAGCTGTTCAGTGACCTGTGGGTCTGGTGTTAAATCAAGATCAAGAGAATGTGACAGCCCTAAACCAGAAAATGGGGGTGAACTCTGTCAAGGTTCAAAGACTGAGACTCAAGTTTGTGACACTGGCTGTCAAGGTAAATTTACTTATATCATTTGTCCGCACACAAAACTACCACTAATTGCAAAATTATTCATAAAAATATATTGACTTACCTGTATTTCTAAGTTATTCTTCAGAAACTACCAATAACACTTTTCTTTTCATTTATTTCATAAGCAAAACATTTATATGTCTTGACCAGACTGTAGTTGGGGTGACTGGACACAGTGGACATGTGATGTAACATGTGGCTCTGGTACAGCAACACGTTCTCGTACAATTGCCCAAGTTGCTGTTAATGGTGGTCTGCCATGTCAGGGTCCTAAAACTAGCAGTAAACTTTGTACCTTGTCAGTTTGTCCAGGTAACGCATTTTAAAACAGAAGTAGTTAATATATTTTAGACTAGGTAAGTGGAAGCACCATATTCTAATGTTTTAAAATAAACAAAACCTACATCCGCTAAGGTACTGTATAATGTTAAAACTATTTTACCCAATTTGATAACTAATAAAGTATGTAAGAAAATAAATATAAATTGTTATATAAATCAGGTCTAACAATATTTACTTTTGTATGCACGCTAGTTGTTGGAGGTTTTGGAGCATGGGGTGTGTGGAGCCCCTGCAGCCGTAGCTGTGGAGGTGGTGTGTCAACCAGACAAAGGTCATGTGACAACCCAGCTCCAAGTCTGGGAGGAAAACCTTGTGACTCTACTCATGCAATTCAAACACACCCATGCAACAATGAGAAATGCCCAGGTTTGTAGTATAGTAATTTACCCAATGTACTTGTTGCCACTGATATTTATGTTATTTCGCTTTAGATAAATAGTCGAAACCAAACAGCCGCTGTCCTGTGTAACAAAAATGTTTAGAGTATTAAAAATAGTCTTTATAATTTTTTGTATTTTCTAAAAAATACCATATGCTTATTATAAATAGATGGTCATAAAAATGGCGACATACACAAAGGTTTTTAATTACTTTGTAGATAATCAATTTTCATATGACAGATAAGAAAATGTAGGGGAAATGTGTATAATCAGTTCTCAAGGAAGAATAATAACTTTAAAAATCTCAAGCTAGAAACTCTTTTTTTTTTTTTGGAAGCAAGCTTTATATTAATAGGATCCAAAAACACCAATTCTTATTAGGTTTTATTTATTTTTTATTATTTATTTACAGTTGTTTTAGGGCTATATGCCGTGTATGGGTTTGCTGTGATGGATTTACCGTTTATGAATTATGGAGTTGCCGTATATGAATTTGTCATTCATTTGCACTTGGTATGCAGTAAATCAGGATCTGACAGCAAGAATGATCGTTCGTTGTTTTAATCTAATTGTTTTTTAGTTTGCAAGAACCCAGAGCTACGTGAGGGCCAGAAAGAATGGAACTGTTCTACAGACAGCTCTGGCCTGCAGACATGTAACATTGTCTGTCTACCTGGTCTTGTTCTGATGCCATCAACTGACAACATTTTCCAATGTGGACCCACCAGTAACTACACCTGGTCACAACAAACACGGGATAATCCAATTGGTCTTACACCAGCTTGTTCAGGTACACATTTCAATAAAATATTTATTTTTTATAAGTGTTCAACTATATCAAAATAGCATTTCTGGATAAGGGGTTTTGGGGTAAATTTGATAACTTAAACTTTTTAAACAGTTATATACAATAAAAAAAAGCATTTTTAGAATTTACTCTAAATGTTTATTTACAGGGTTATTTACAGTGGCGAATTAAAGGGGATGAGGTGCGAAGGGATGGGTTAGCAGTGGCCAAGGGGCCCTTACATTTTTTTCTAATAAACCACCTAACACTGTAATGAATGCTCCCTACGCGTGGTACCTGTTGACATCCAAATACTGGTGGATTTCATGTTAAGTGGATGACCAGAGGATAGAAGTGTGGTTTTCGATGCGCACATATTGGTTATATAAATATAAGCCCAGGTATTGGCTGATCTATTGTAACAAGGTTGTTGCTAATTGAAAATTTCGAATCAGTTGATAGCTTGATAAAGGAGCTTGTTTGTAAATATATTTGGCAACCTTCTGGGGTTCCTGCCCAAGTTTAATCCACCCCTGGGGTTCTGAGCTGTTACAACAATTCTTAAGTTGTTTAAAATACGATTTAATGATATGTCATACATTTATAGTTCTTTAGAGTATTTTATATTCTTAACTTTATCCAACATTAATCTGTAAACGAAAAAAAAAGTTAAGACATAATTATTAAAAAGGATCAAGCAGTTTTACAATTGAACAGCATTTAATATGTAGGCCTATCTAAACGAGAACAGCTACTAACGGCAGAATCTATTTCCTACTTAAACGTGTTCAATACCTCTCACTTTTGCAGACAGGAAGATCCCTGAATCAGTGTCCCCTGTCATTACAACCACCTATGACATAGATTGCAACAAGCCACCATCATCTGTTGATCTAGAAAGTTCTGTAAATAATCAACTATCACAACAGGACTGTGTTAAACAAGGCACTTGTACATTCACAGTGGCGTCACAGTCAAACTGCAAGACTAGTAGGAAGAGATCCATTGGTACAATATGGACATGCTTGAAAAATTTCCTAGAATTTTATACCTGAACTTAGTTATAGGAAAAAGAAAAATTATAATATCAACAGTCTAAAACATTCAGGCTTTTTTCACAAGCTATATTAATGTGTCATAGAGATAAAAATTGCTTATTACAATCATCGGGACAATGTAATATTGAAAGATTGTAACTGTCACAATTATTACCAGGTATTTCATCAAATTCTAAATCGCGATTATGATTTTGTTATATACCCCTTTAAATAATTTGATTCTTGTGCCATTTTCTAGAAGAAAAAGTCAGTATTAATTATAGAAATATATACTTATATTTCTAGGTGTTATTGTAATGCAAGTCTCCTTAACTCCTGTTGGTTATAATGATACTGAGAAAACATACTTTGGAAATATGTCTGGTAAAGAACTATTACATTTTATTTAAATAATCATTTTTATGCTGTATAAATTGATAACGACTTTTAGATTTAGTGCAAATATTGATTTTTGACAATTTATTTCACAAATGGGTATTCAATAACTCAACTGTCAACTACCATTTTTTTAAAGAACAAGAAGCGAATGCACAAATTACTAAGCTGGAGGAAATTGAACAAACTCTGCAAAACATCATGAAAACCAATGCAACAATTTTTACTGCAACGATTGATGGTGTGAAATACGTTGGCAAGGCACAAACTGTGGAGACAACAATAGTTTGCCAGTCAGGATCAGGGTTTGTGCGTGGATTTTGTGGTAGGTTTTTTTTTTAAATTAATCGTTATATAACAAGTGTTGCTGTTCTGATTTTAATGGAATGTACGGAAGTATTTGTGGTTGTTTTTTTTTTTTCTGCTTGACCACGTTACAGTCATATGACTATTAAGTGGAGAGTTGTATTTTGTTATATAGAGACAGTGAAGTTTTATTCTTATATACTCATCAGTGGACTGTCCAGCAGGATCCTATTCCCCAGGAAATGCTTCATGTCTGTATTGTGATAAGGGATTTTACCAGGACCAGCCTAAGTCATCAAACTGTGTAGCTTGCCCCTCTGGTAATATTGACATAATAATTGTAACATCTGTATAAAAACATTTTATTAAAATAATCCGACGCAAAACAGTTGGCTGTCATCTACTAAACTTTCGAGATTTTGGTAGAAAGTGGGAAACTCTTACCCTTAAAGGAAAAAAAATGAATTTAAAAAATGTTTAAATTTTATTTTTATTTTTAAGTAGAAGCAAACATTTTTTTTAGTAAACTCGACAATAACTTCATGGCTTCGATGCTCAATTACTAAAAATAGAAGCACAATAAATGAAAACAAAAATTTACAGAACCGTACATAGGGGCCTACATAAATTCGACCTCTGTTCGTTCACTCAACACTGTTCAAATTACTTATCTTTGGCTGAAATGTATATTTTCCAATATATAGACAGAAAAGGCATTGTATAGCCAGGAGACGTTTTAAAAAGTCTAGAGGAACATCTGGTTTATCTGGTTTGAAGTGTGAAATAGATGTATCCCTGTCTGTTGCTAGCTAATGCTGGTTGTTTTTAGTTTTATAACACTGAAAGAGTTGATCAGTGGTTGCTATCAATTATTCAAGTATTATAATAGTTATGTGGCAAGTGGGTTTTGTTTTCCGGGCAAACTATCAACTTTATAAGATCATTTCACCATCATGACCAGAAACAACATCTCTTTAGGACTGAAGCGCTTTTTGAGATCCTCAGTCATTGTGGTTTTCCATATTCTGAAAACAAAGATGCAAAAACATTTTGATGATATAGAAAAATGAGTATATAAAATTAATTCAATTTTACAAATTTGTTGTTTTTTTATAAAGAGGTAAAAAAAAAAGATAATCCGAAATGGGAGGTTGTAAAAACAAACCCAGTAAAATTAAGCTCTAAACTAATCTAAAATACTTGAGTATGCTTTGGACGACAAACAGATTTGTCATTTACGTTTGGAATTGGCAAAGGTTACCAAATAAAACGTAATTATTAATACTGTAGGGTTATAATTTTAGCAACCCTAATATTTTTAAAAAGGAAACGCTTATCCTCTAAAGCAAAGCACACAAAACAGTCTAACAAGGCACTGTCTTGCCGTTTATTTATTTTTTTCGCTTAAAAAGAATTTGAGTAGGCTCAAAGAATTAATCATTTAGAATGATTTCAACGTCTGTTAGCGATTTTCAGTAGTTCAGGTATTGCGAAATAACAATATTACTGACAGCAACCTGGTGCGGATTGCCCACGTCTATGCTACTTCTTGTACCAACAAAGAGTAACTCCTTCTTTTCAAATTAATATTTTCTTTTAAAATAAGTCTATGAAAGTACTTTTTAAATGCAGAATTCTCAACATGATTTCACTTGTATTCACTTTATATGCTTGTGAATTATCCTCACTCATTACAATTAATTAAGTTAGTAAGGTGTTGTTTAACATCTTTTAACAAATTAAAATCCTAAATACCAGGTACTACAACCTCAGGAAGAGGCTCGTACTCACCAAACCACTGTACAACAAACCCAATCAGCTATGCAGACATTTATCCTTTTATGATAGAACCTACAGTTGGTGATACAACTACCAAGGGACAAAACTCAGATAATTATGTGCATGATGGTAAAATAAGTTTTTGTTTTTATAGCTAGGAATATGATAAGTAAAATCATTTTATAAAAACGTAATAACGTACTGTTTTATCTTATTATTCTATAGTCCAAAGTATTAGAAATCAGTTATACAAATGTTAAAAAATAAAGTTTACAAAACTGTCATTTTATGAATTAAATGAAAACAAGATGATATATAAAATATTTAAAATTAACCCATTAAGAAGAAAAGTACTTTAAACTGCTTTAGCAATGCTACAACTTTATACCTACATATATATTAATATATACACACACACACACACACACACACACACATATATATATATATATATATATATATATATATATATATATATATATATATATATATATATATATATGTATATATATATATATATATATATATATATATATATATATATATATATATATATATATATATATATATATATATATATATATATATATATATATATATATATATATAAATTCAACATAAGACTGGGGGTGAACCGCGCCAGGCGACACTATTTAGAGGGGGGGGATGTGAACCCAAGGCAAAAATTGAAAATTTACAGAAGAAAAATGTTATTTGCCAGTTAAATTAATAATTAATTCAAGTTCAATATTGTATTTTAACTACAAATTGACAATCCCAACAAAGTGGAGGTGATGGGCTGACATCATGACGTAAAGTTGCTAACTATAGTGAAAACAATGCTACTTCAAGCTATATTAATAACTGACTATAGATATATTTCGTTATTATTAATTTAAAGCTATCACCCTAGGTTGGGGTTGGGGGTGTCACCAACTTTTTCATTTAAAGAGGTAAACATATATAAAACCTGACACGTCATCCAACGTCGGGGTTGGCTTGACACCACATCTAATAATGTATTATGAATATGATGCTCTTTCCAAGTTGATTTAATAGGTGGATTAATTTAATGTTTGCTTAAATTGACGCCATTATGCAAATGGGAATAGGGGGTTACACGACTTGCAACTACATAATATATATATATATATATATATATATATATATATATATATATATATATATATATATATATATATATATATATACTTTTTCTTTTTGCGGGTGATTATGTGACGGCCGACCTATTTGTTTAACGTAGTTACATGATACTTACTTTATAATATATATATATACATCTCATAAAATTAAGACCTTCTTCGCTTTTTTGTTATATTTTGTTTTCATGGAGTTTATAAAGATATAAATAATACATGAATTAGGGTACAACTAGTAGCAAATATAAAATGTATAAACTCTATGTAATAATTAACATGATTGCAGATGCAGATGTTCCCGTAATTGTAGGAGCTGTCACAGGCAGCATAATCTTCATTCTTATTTTGGCGATAATAAGTTTCATCATTACCAAAAAGTTAGTTTGTAGAGCATCCTACTTTTTTGTTCTTTATGGTGATAGAAAGCAAATTTAAAATGAATCAAAATAATTTAAAATTCTAATTGTTTATTTTTGTAATCATTTAGGTTTGGGAAGTCTCTCTCTAAAACTGCACCGGAAGATTATACACATCTTAACATGAGCACAACTCGCAAAGTGAAGTGATTTCAAATAATAAAGATCTTTCATAAACAATATTATCATATTTAAATTAAAATGTTTATGGGGTTACTTTTTTTTAAATAGTTAAATTATCAATATGGATTAGTTTTGCCTAAGTAGTACTATACAAAAATAACTTTCTTGATTAAACATGTATTTTGGTAGAGTTACAAAACGAAAATAGATTTGAAATAGGTGTAGGCTACTTAGAAATATAAGTATTTGTTTATATCAAACTAGATTTTACCTCGTTAGTCATCTGAAGGCGTAGATATATTTTAACCATATAAACAATATTTGCTATTAATAGTAAGTCAACTTCTAATAAAATCAGAACAAAATCCTTCATCTTGAGATAAACAACATAATAATATTCTATATAAACAGGATGTTTTTATTATATTACATATTTTAACTTTAATAGTATAATCTATACATAATAATTTAATCAAAAATATTGTTCGTATCAAAAAGAAGATTTTTTTCTTTGAACATTGTTTGTTCTAATTTAAGTGTTTTTGAGTATATTGGTCTTCACATAGACTTGCATTTATTTAAATAAACGTTCATAGTACCATTATGTTTGTAACTTTTTAAAAATTTAAACATACGTTTACTGACGTAAGTTGGTTCTAAAGTGATTATGAACATTAAATTTCACTCCGCACATTGACACACTGGCATTGATAGGTTGCATATTACCCAGTGGTGAGCAGATTGAAACCTGGACAAATTGATGTCCAGGCTTTGTGGAAATTCATTTGGATTTCTGTGTGGTAAATGAAAAAAAAATATATAGAAATATATACTTTTACCAGTATCCACCCCCTATGGGACGGAGTGGTCTAACGGTAGAGAGCTGGACTGCTAACCCGGAAGTCTCGAGTTCAATTCCGGGTTCAAGTCAGTAGGGAAAGTAAAGGCGTGCTGACCACCCTATCTCTTCATATGCCGAGGTCACAGAAACAAGTGAACTCTACTTCACTTGTTCCATAGACCGTCCACCCCCCCCCCCCCCCAACTTGTTATCAACTGTGACTGGGCTATAAGAGACCTGCGTGTTTACAAAGCTCTATGCTTAGAAAAGGATGTCGCGAGCTTTGCTACTCTGGCCACTTAGTCTTATGTTAATTAACTTGGCTAACTCAAAATTAAAAAATGTTTACTCTAAAGTCAAAACAGAAAGTGTTAATGATACATTCAATATACACACATAAATAAAACGTTTTAATCAATCGATTTATTCTAGTTATTTAACTATAAACTAAATTAAAATTCAACAATTCAAAGTGGTATTAGAATTGAAAAAATACTGAAACTGCCATATGTAATGTGAAGAGGGCTGCGAATATTAATGTGGGGCTGTGTAAACACTTGAGTAATTTAGAGTGTGTCTACTTGATATGTCTACACAACAGCCATCTACACAAGGGTGTTACACAACAAACAACTAATAAAGCTGTATTTAAAATAGACACATGTACTTCATTTAGTCTAAAATAATAAGTGGTGAACTCAATATACCATTTACATTTTAGTTATATATGTTTGGGAAACAATAAATTATATCATTGTTTATTTAAAGTTTTTTTTTCATTATTTATTACGACGTACATTTTAATTTTTTTTTTAATTCAACAATCAAATCACAATTTTTACAATTACCGAACAATATGTTTACAGTTTTCACCTACTTATATGCGTCTCTTTATACTTGAATTGTGGTAATTTGTACCCCAAGTAAAAAAAAAATTATGAAAGTTACAAGTTCACATGGTTATTATTTTAAAGTAATCTCTAGCTATGGACTTAATTTTTTTTTCAAAAGAATTTTGCCGGCGACAGCGTGTGTTTGATTTTAGGGGGAATAGAGAACTCGGATAAAAAAAAGTAGAAATATAAATAACTGTTTTCTTATTTATAAATACATTTGACGACAATTTTTGAGCCCTCTATTTGGTCCCCACCTCTCCCCCATACCACAGTACACTTTGGAGGATCGGTTGAACAGTCACATGTACTTTTTGGCTATCAAAGGAGAGCATCGAGTCACAGAAGTCATTAAAATTTGATGTTTTGCCTATATTTTACACTACAGTTTGCGTAGTAGATTATAATGTTAGCGGAAGAGCGTGGTATAGTAGTACAATGACTGTAAAATAAAGATAATCCTATCGCAGCTAAAGTACTTTTTTAAAAACCAAATATCATGGCAAAAATTGCACGAAAATTAAATTAAAATAAAAAAAAATTAATTATGGTCGGCTGTGTGCCCCGTAAACGGCATGCCCCCCCCCCCAACCCCCACACTGCGGGGTCTCAGAGGCGTAGCGAACCTTCCCGGCGCCAGGGGACAAACTTTTTGATTTGCAATCCACCTTCTCAAACTTTCAATTTGCACCCCCCCCTCAAGATTTTGTTTTGCACACCCCCCTTCAAACTTTGGATTTACACCCCCCTCTCAAGATTTTGATTTGCACCCCCCCCCCCCCTTCAAACTTTCGATTTTCACCCCCTCAACCTTTCAATTTATTTTTCCAACCCATTTTGGCGCCCCCCCCCCGCCCCCTCGCTACGCTACTGCGGGGTCTGGAGGTACTGTCGTTCCGCCCCAGATCAAGATAATAGGTTAAGATATACTGAGTTGATTTGTATACAGTTATTCTTTGCAGCATATATATATATATATATATATATATATATATATATATATATATATATATATATATATATATATATATATATATGTGTGTATATATAAACGCAAAATTTATATTAGACTTGAACGTCACTACACCTCTGTCATTTGATACGAGCAGGCCTACAGCATGAGAAAGTATTGTGGTTAAATCTACAGTTAAGTGTGCACTACACAGTGAACTTCCTGGACTCTATTGTAGTGCGATATCCTGTTAGTGTATGATATCAAAAGACAACTATGTTTAGAGTTAAACATTTTAGATTCAGACTTTAGAAAAACTCGATAACAGCTAAAAACCTTAAATATTGTATGTTGTTATATTATTATTAATATATTTAAATGTGTTTAAAATACGTACAATATATACAAAATTTTATTCGGATTGAAAACATACTGTTCTGAAATTTTCATAAAATCGGTCATTGATTCAATGGGATATTTAAATAGATTTCTTTTTTTTTCTAACATATACAAAATACTCACATAGAGTCGTAACATCTACAGTTATATTTTCTTAGCCAAGCTATGCTGCAATCTCTAAAAATGGAATTCGTGTTTATATTAACAATGTTCATCTCAGTCTTACAGAAATCTGACGGATGCAGTAGTTGTAAGTATCCTACCCTTAAAAGACATTTTGTTTGCATATTTAAGCCTGGTATGAAGCAGACAACCATTTAGACTGTCGGTCGATCGGATGTTAGTTACAATCCAGTACAAAATCAGAAGGAAATAATAAAGTTATGGGTTAAGGCTTGGTTTATTCAAGGATAATAATACTTTTTACTAAAATCTAAGATATAATTTATAGCAATAAAAATTCAACGAAAAGTGAATTAAAACTATATTTGAAATTGTTTTTTTACACAATGCCATGATTATTATAAAAGAGAACAGTTCAGATCTCTTTAGTTCATTATGATTGCTGTTTGGAATTAATTTTAGAAAAAAAATATTCTAATATCGTCGTTGCAATCTTTAAAGCTATCGCATTGGTACGACCAACATTTAACATAAACTGGTGTTTATTCTAAGCGAATCAAGCTAGGAAAACTGAACATAAGATAAATGGAAATTTAACTTGTTTAACAAAGTTAGACTTGTAAATAAACTCTAGCTATTTCTTTCGCCGAACATCCTGTAGACTATTATCCTGTTTATTGGACAATCATTCGCAGATAAGGAATTAAACGGAAACAAGAAAGTGTTAAAAGTTAATTAAAACTTATCTTGACGGCACGTTCTAGCTATTTAACATTCACTTGTAAATCTTGAATCGTTTTTAAGGAAGTTTGGGTTTTACCGGATTAGGAGGTTATAAAACTGATATATTAACTGTGGTCCTATTTAGCAATTAAAATATAGTTATTTAAAACTTGATGCGACAAAAAAGGATCGTGTTTAAAAAAAAAACAGAAATAATATTGTCTAAAAGAATTTCATAAAAAACTTTTTAATAACAAGCTTCTATGTTATAATGCACTAAAAAGGAGAAAATAAATTATACACTACTATTTAAATAACTATAAAGAAAAGCGTGTGTAACACATATGATTACCAGCCAAAGGGGGATAAAACTATGAAGTTTTTATTCATTGGGTTGCGGCCCCTGTGGGACTGCAACTGAACTGTTGACGTTTTTTTATGCTTTTGTGAGCGAAATTACCTGTGTTCCATGTCATGTGACATGTGCCTAGTCGTGTCGCACACGCAAGGCTGCTGTCTGTGGACCAAGATGTAGACCTAATGAAGGTAGTGTAGATATTTAAATTATGTTTGTTAAAATACTTACTTATGTATTCCTGCTAGTGCTGCATGTGCACACTAGTTAGGGTGATGTATTAAATTAAGTATTTATTTTGTAGTACTACTTATTGGTACTTGTTGGCAGTACTGTGTACTGGCCGAAAACATAATTTATTGTACCCGTGTATATTGTAGCTTACACGTGGTGTTGTCCTGAATGTAACTTTTTTTATTTTACATTTGTTTTAGGGCTACAGTTCTTTTTCTATTTTGATCTTTTGATCTTTTGATCTTTTGGTCTATCTTGGCTAGTTCGTTTTGTACTACTGTGTTGCATCGCCGTCATGGCTCGATGCTATAAATAAACGAGTACTTGACAACAACTGTCGGCGTCGGTGTGTACTTAATCTCAGGGTCAGCCCGTCTTAACCACAACACCTCAGTGGGTAAAAGCATCCCCACTGAGTGAGGGTTACATTTGGCGCCCAACGTGGGGCTTGACCTTGAGAGGTAGGATGGAAAACAGCGACCCGACGTTGGAGAAGTTGTCGCAGGAGCTGGCCAAGTTGAGGGCTACGATGGCGGAGCTAGAACAGACAAGTGCGCAGCGGCCCGTGACGGTGGAGGTGTGCATGTCAACACACAATAGGCTGAACCTGTTCACCGGCCTTCCCCCCACTGGAGGAGGGGAGGTGAGTTTCCCGGACTGGGAAACCCAAGTGCAATGTTTGCTGCGGAACACCAGCGTTCCGAACCCGTTGCCGCGCATTTTAGGCAGCCTGAGAGGGATTGCCTATGAGCATGTAAAGCAGGCTACGAGTCCAGAGGAAGTGCTAAGCCTACTACAAAGCACTTTTGGCGACACTCGATGTGCCGATGACAGGTATCTGCAGTTCAGCCGACTCACTCCACATCCAAGAGAGTCAGCGTCAAAATTTCTCTGCCGACTGTGGTCAGAGATGACGAAGCTAAACCAGCAGCGTAGCTTTACTGAGGCCGATGCCCAGAAGAAGGTGTATCACACTTTCTGCAAGGGGGTTTCACCTCTTCTGGCGCTCGAACTTCGTGGCACATTTGGTTTCCCAGGGGAAGCCAGCCCAAAGTTGGGGGACGTCCTGAAAGCTGTTAGAAGGCTGGACGGGACGACTGAGTTTCGAGTCGAAGCCACGGCAGCAGCTAACAGGGCTGTCCAGGTCGACGCAGTAACGGCAGCTGTTCGCCAAGAGACGACGCCGCCGCTGATGCTCAAGGAGGAACAACTCGACCGTCTGGCGGAGAAGGTGGCAGATATTCTATCCCGGAAACAACGGCCCTCCAGAGGAGCTTGTTACGGGTGTGGGTCCAGAGAGCACATCGTCCGCGACGGGCCGAGTAAAGCTGCCAGGCAACAAAGTCAACAGCAGGGAAACAGTGGGGAGTGGAAGCTGATTCAGGGGCTACCAAGCGCCCAAACTAAAGCTATTCCACGAAGCTTTAGGCCCAAGGCGAATCCAGCAAAAGCGGTGAGTTCAGAAGGGGAGGTACGCAACCTCACCAATAAGCAGCCATCTGCCGCTAGACAGCAGCCGACACTAAAACCGGTACGCCTCCGAGACGTGGTTGTGACCCTTGCAGCGGGTCAAACGTTGGAGCTACGGGGAACAGCACCGTCCACGGCGCAGGTGATCCCTAGACCCCACCACCAGCTACCGACAGGGTTGCGTGTTTTACACACTAGCATTGACGGAGGGCAGTTGTGTGTGGTCATTCAAAACTGCCGGAAACGAAGAAATCTGACCGTGACCTCCGCTGATGTCCTAGCTGATCTAAGCACAGAGGCGGCGGTATTGGAAGCGTTGATAGGGCCGGCATGTGAAACAACCATACAGGTGGAAGGTGTAGATGTCCAATGTTTGCTGGATAGTGGATCCCAAGTCACTATCGTGTCGCAGAAATTCTATAAGGAGAGATTATCTCATATTCCTCTCCAGCACCTGCAGACACCGGTTACAGTAACTGGAGCCGGGGGACAAGAAGTGCCATATTTGGGTATCATATCTGTCACGTGTACATTGCCTGAAATTATCGCAGGTAGAGTACAGGCTGTGCAAGTCGCGGCATTGGTCGGTGGTGATAGCCCTCTCTCGGAGCGGATGCCTATAATTTTGGGAACGAATGCGTTCAAGAGGCTGACGCACTCTAAATTGGCAGAACAGCGTGTTAAGGGGGAAGCAGCTTTTATGATGGGGCATCAATTGGACAGAGCCCACGAAAGTGGGAAACTAGGACACATTCAACTGGTCGGTAAAGGTGTAATAGTGCCACCATTCGGTACGATATGTGTCAACGGGAGGCCACAAGTTAATACCATACGCACTTGTGCAAGTGTGCTGCTCCAAGAGCCCACGGAAGTTAAATTGCCCGAAGGGTTGCATGTGGTTGCGGCCAAGGTGAGCGTGGATGATCTGTGTGGAGTACAGGTGACACTATGCAACATGTCAGATCATGATGTGGAGTTAAAGCAGAAAGATATTATAGCTGATGTTTTTATGATCCAATCAATGTACAACATCTCTAACCTTTTGGCTGAATTTCACGAGGTACAGCAGTTTCCAGTACCGGAGACACCTAACCTTTCTAACTCAACCCGCTCAGTCTCGGTAGAGGCAGGCGGAAACAATGACTTGAATTTCAAGTTTGGGGATAACACAACTCCAGAGTGGCGTGACCATTTCACTAGAAGACTGTATGAATTTAGTGATGTTTTCATAAACAATGAACTTGATTTAGGGTTGACCACTGAAGTAGCTCATGATATTGAGCTTGAAGCAGGTGCGTGGGTAAAAGAACGGCCCAGACCTATTCCACCAAAGGATTTCGCCGAAGCAAAACAGCATATTCAAGAACTATTGGATGCTAAAATCATCACGCCCTCATCCTCACCGTATGCAAGCCCTATTGTGCTGGTGAGAAAGAAATCAGGTGCATTACGCATGTGTATAGACTATCGGAAAATTAACGCTCACACTATTAAGGACAGTTATGCCATCCCAAAAATAGAGGATATGTTCCTGACTTTGAGCGGGGCCAAGTTTTTTACAAGTATGGACCTGAGTAGGGCCTATTACCAAGTACCGCTGACGGAGAGAGCAAAACTTATCTCTGCATTCACCACACCATTTGGACTGTATCAGTTCGAACGAATGCCTATGGGCTTGAAGAACGCTCCCCCAACATTTCAGAGGATAATGGAGAAAGTCTTTGCAGACATGAATCTGACAGAACTGATTGTGTTCTTAGATGACATCTTGCTGCACGGTAGAACTCTGGATGAGTTAGAGGAACGTACAATCCAGGCATTACACCGTCTCCGGAGGTACGGTCTAAAGTTAGATCCTGACAAATGTGTGTTTGGGACATCCGAAGTTCGGCATCTAGGACATGTAATTACAGATAAGGGAATCAAGCCAGATCCGGAGAAGATCAAAGCGTTAATCAACTGGCCAAGGCCGAGAACTGTCCGGGATGTCAAATCGTTTATTGGCTTTGCCGGATATTACAGGCGATTTATTCCAAACTTTGCTCAAATTTCTAGGCCATTACATGATCTAACTGTAGGGTACATGCCTAAAGGAACCAAAAAGGGAAGCCACAAACCGGCCACCATTCATTTAACGTCGGATATATCGCACATGTGGAGTGAGGCTCAACAGCAATCATTCGAAACGCTAATGAATGCGTTGACCGAAGAGCAAGACGGCACGACACGGGTGATTGCTTATGCTAGCAGATCTCTGAACAAGACAGAACGCAACTACCCGGCCCACAAACGAGAGTTTCTAGCTCTTAAATGGGCGATGACTGAGAAGTTCCATGACTATATCGTTGGCTCACACATCAAGGTGGTCACAGACAATAATCCCCTGTGCTACATTCTTCGGAATGCCAAACTGGATGCTACAAGTCATCGCTGGCTGGCGTCTCTGTCGATCTATGACTTTGACCTGCAGTACAAAAAAGGGTCGACTCACGTAGATGCCGATTTATTGTCCAGACGGCACCAGGACGAGCCGGCAGAGGAGGATGAGCAATTTCAAGTTTTGCTCGAAGACACAAAATTTTTGAGGGACAAGGCGGAAAAGTTTGAGTTGCAAGCTGCTGAGTCTATTCACATCGGCACACATCTAGTATCAGCCATAATTGCAGCCAAGGGTGGCGAGAGCCAATCGAATTTCTCAACGGATATGAGAACTGACGGGGAAGGTATCACGTACATACCGGCTGTCGAACAGGTGGTAAAGGATCCGTCAGCCATCAGAGATGATATCTTAGAACAGTCAGACGGGAATTATCACTCCATTTCTATACAAGAGTGGAGGAGTCATCAGTTGGCCGATACTATCATTGCGTGGGTCATTAAACATGTAGAACAAGGAGGCAAGTTAGAAATGTCAGCGGACAGCACACCAGAGGAAAGAGCATTTGTCAGGGAACAAAAGAAATTAGTAATGAAAGATGGAGTCCTATATCGCAAAGTAGCAGATGATGAATTAGGAAGTAGATTTCAATTAGTTATCCCAAGGTCACATCGGAAAGAAGCAATGCAAGGTGTACATGAAGATCTATTTCATACCCACCTGGATGATGCGATTAAACATGCTCGAATGCGGTTTTACTGGCCACATATGTTCCGAGACCTTGAAAGGAAGATCAAGAAATGTGGGAGATGTCTTAGGAGGGGTGCACCAGTTCAGAAAGCACAGATGGAAACAATAACCACTTCGTTTCCGTTAGAACTGCTTTCAATAGATTATCTAACTATTGAAGCAGAAGGTCACAAACAAAATGTTCTAGTGATTCTAGACCACTTTACAAAGTTTGCAGTGGCAGTGTGCACCAAAGACCAGACGGCGAAAACGGTAGCCCGGACACTGTGGCATGATTTTTTCATGACGTACGGTTTTCCAAAGAGAATCCTCACCGATCAGGGGAGGGATTTCGAAGCTAAAATTGTGAAAAACCTGTGTGAAATGGCGGGTATTCGCAAGTGTCGGACCACACCCTACCATCCCGCAGGAAATCCAGTAGAAAGGTGGAACAGGACGTTGCTAAACATGATCCGAAGCCTTGAGGAGGACGAGAAGGCGACGTGGAGGAAAAAACTGCCGGCCGTTGTACACGCGTACAATAGCTGTATCCATTCAAGCACAGGCTACAGTCCATATTTCCTCTTCTTCGGTCGTCATCCTAGGCTGCCCATCGATTTAGCTTTCGGGATTGATGTGGGAAGAAAGAAACAGGGAACACCGACGCAGTATATACAAAGCCTAAAAACCCAACTGAAGTCTGCCTACGGACGAGCAGCCGAGAACATGGCCAGAGCGGCTGACCGGAACAAGGTCAGATACGACATTTCAGCCCACGCTGCTGAGCTGGAGGTTGGAGATCGGTGCTTAGTTCGCCGTTTGGGCCCTAGAGTCACGTCAAAAATCAGCGACAAGTGGGAGGCCGAGATCTATGTGGTAGTGGATAAAGCGGATGACGTGCCAGTGTACACTGTGCAGGAGGAGACAGGAAAAGGGCAATGTCGGACATTGCATCGGAACTTCCTATTGCCGGTGGGAATGCTAGATATGGATGCTGGCATAAAATTGGCAGAGGAAGAGAGACGGCGGCAAGAACAACGACGGAAAGAGGTCATACCAACCCGGGAGGCAGATGAAGAGGAGGAACTGGCAGTCAAGGTGGTCCCAACTAGACTTCGGCCGGAGGCAATGCCCTTCGTGCCAGAGGTGGTCGCCCGGGACGGGCAAGACAAGGTGATGGTCAGGCCAGCCCCACATCTGGATGAGGTGAATGCGAGGGACGAGGCATCGGACGAGGATGACTCTTGGATCAACCCAGAACCACCAGCGGAGCTGCGGAGGTCAACCCGTCAACGACGACCCGTCGAGCGACTCAACCTGGCGCATCAAGTGGTGACCAGTACCAGCACTGGAGCCTCTACCGGTTTGCCGGGAATAATCTATTTGAGTTGAAAGGACTTAATGTCTGTGTACTTGTGTACTGAACTTTTTTTTTAAGTACTATTAAGTATGTATGAAATGTAAATGTAAATGTGAATTCCATTGTACATTTATTTGTGAGGGGGGCTGTGTAACACATATGGTTACCAGCCAAAGGGGGATAAAACTATGAAGTTTTTATTCATTGGGTTGCGGCCCCTGTGGGACTGCAACTGAACTGTTGACGTTTTTTTATGCTTTTGTGAGCGAAATTACCTGTGTTCCATGTCATGTGACATGTGCCTAGTCGTGTCGCACACGCAAGGCTGCTGTCTGTGGACCAAGATGTAGACCTAATGAAGGTAGTGTAGATATTTAAATTATGTTTGTTAAAATACTTACTTATGTATTCCTGCTAGTGCTGCATGTGCACACTAGTTAGGGTGATGTATTAAATTAAGTATTTATTTTGTAGTACTACTTATTGGTACTTGTTGGCAGTACTGTGTACTGGCCGAAAACATAATTTATTGTACCCGTGTATATTGTAGCTTACACGTGGTGTTGTCCTGAATGTAACTTTTTTTATTTTACATTTGTTTTAGGGCTACAGTTCTTTTTCTATTTTGATCTTTTGATCTTTTGATCTTTTGGTCTATCTTGGCTAGTTCGTTTTGTACTACTGTGTTGCATCGCCGTCATGGCTCGATGCTATAAATAAACGAGTACTTGACAACAACTGTCGGCGTCGGTGTGTACTTAATCTCAGGGTCAGCCCGTCTTAACCACAACACCTCAGTGGGTAAAAGCATCCCCACTGAGTGAGGGTTACACGTGGTTCACTTTAGTATCTATTGAATACCTTTACTAATATTTAGTGTATAATTTATGTTCTCCTTTTTAGTGCATTATTACATAAAAGCTTGTTATTGAAACGTTTTTTATGAAATTTGTTTTAGTACTTTACATGTTTTTATTTACAATAGAGTTACATGACTAAAAACCATTGCGCACCTATTGAACGCGAGTAGTGTAGTGTAGTAGCGTGTGTAGTAGTTGGATAGGACTGCCTACTAATTTGGTTACATTTTTAATTAATTCATAAAAAATTAATCAGGCGACCAATTAAGTACAATTGAATGTCATAAAGCATTGTCTTTATGTCTTGACCCACGTACCCACTACGAACCGTATCTGTCAGAAGTGCCTGCAATTCCGCTCGGCCGTTTCGATATAGACAGACTGACGACAGACTGACGAGGAAGTGAGTTAAATAAAAGCTTGTAAAAATAGATTAAATGTTATTTCTTTCTTTTCAAGTCCACTGCAATGTATCGTCATTTCTGATTTTTAAACTTTTATTTTTAATATTTTAAAAAAAAGTGCCAGACGACTCAGACGACTAAATCACGTTTTTTGGCCATTTCAACAAAATTGATCCTTTTCTCCCGAGCTAATTCGGTTGATACCGTCGGAACATGCTGTTTCAATAGCAGATTGATTGGCGATCATTGATACAAGATACATATTATACTTACTTTCTTAATCCTCGTCACTCCCGCGTCAATTTTTTTTTCAAAACTAAAATGTTTTTGACAGGGGGTTACGTATAAGATACAATTATCACTTCATTAACATTTTCTCTCCAAATTTGTATAGATCAATTTTTACATAAAAAGGAACCAAATTAGAGTGATCTGTATAGAAAATTAGGACCGCGCGTCTCGTTGAATTTCGGAACAATCCTTCGTACGCTTTAATATTTGTTAGGACGTGGGCAACTATTAATGTTTGTATTAAACATTTTAAATAGTTATTTTTTTTCGACGAATTATATTGTTAAATTTTATCATATATATATATATATATATATATATATATATATATATATATATATATATATATATATATATATATATATATATATATTATAAAAGCTGGCATGAGGTCATTATCTATAGTAAATTTAATTTTTCCATTATTTGATTTAACGATACCAACCATTTTTAGCTTCATCGAAGCCACCTCCCAATAAACCACCGACTATAACATGCCCAGTGGTGAACTCAACATTTTACACGGACAAAGGTCAAGTTGTACAGTACGTCACATGGAGTCCTGCAACAGCACGTGATCCAGAGACGGGAAATATTGGGTAAATGTCCTATATAAAGAACATCATACAGGAATATACTATAATAGATTATTATAGTTTAGCGTAGAAAGCTTTAAGTAGTAAACAAAAATGTGTATACAAAAAATATTCATATATATATATATATATATATATATATATATATATATATATATATATATATATATATATATATATATATATATATATACTGCTTATAGCGTAAAACAAACTCAAGGAGTATCTCCTGGAACACAATTTGCTGAAGGCTCGTACATGATTTCATACAGTGCAACGGACAGCCAAGGCGCAACTGTTTCTTGTTCTTTCTCCTTTGTCGTCACAGGTAAACTTTGGGCATGTATGATCAGTCGTGGAATAACTTACGCATCCTGTCGGGGGTGGGGATGGGCTGCACACTTATTACCATATGCAACATGGGATATGATTGGGAGGAATTTAGAGTAGCATAACATTTTTCTTATTAAAAATGTTTACTAACGAAACACCCGTGCCATTTCTTTCATCATCATATTTTCCAGTTTGTGCGCATGGGGCAGATGAGTAGAGTAAAATGTGTTTCAGTGATTGCTGTATTCGGGGGTGGAGGATATGTGGTCAAAACCATGTCCAGGTGCCTTAGTTTCCATAACGTGAGCCAGGTATACATAAGAGTGGGGTGCACTCAAGAAGTTTCTAAAGACTCGAGACTTTGATCCGAGACTTTCAGGCTAGAATACGATCACGTCGTCCCTTTTTATTTCTTTGGGTATTTAATTACATTATTTTTTTAATTGGAGAATGAAGTAGTTAGTCCGGAACATTAGAATGTCATTTAGATCCTGTATTTTGTTACAATGTGTGACAACCCAATCATGTTAAATAAAAATTGGTTCGAAATTCACGTTTTGTTTCAAAAGCCTAACCATTTTAATTATTACTAAATTCATTTCATGATTACAAAAATGATATAGTAAATAATACTTTATATAGCTAAATAGTTCGGTAGGAATTGATTAAAGAGAGATATTTAAATATAGTTCGCAGATGCCCAAAAGATTTTACAAGTATGGACCACGGCACTGCATCTTGTCAACCTTCCAACACCCCCAACATCTACGGCAGCCAGTGTTCATACAGCTGTGATGAAGGATATGAACTGGTTGGCTCCTCGCTATTGGAGTGTGGCAGTAACCAGCAGTGGAACAACGTTAAGCCTATATGTACAGGTAATGTGAAGGATTAATTATCTTATATATCCATAGAACAGCTGTAACACTGCCGCATTGGGGATGTGGTGTGATGTCACTCATTGCTGTGTAGTGTTTTAAAGGGTTACCCTGAGAGATAACACAATCAATCTTGCTGTAAGGTCCTGATTTATTGCATACCAATACGAGTGTTAACACCAGTCCTATGAAGACACGCCCATATTCCATGTACGGCAATTCCACATACAGCTAATAAACGGTAAATCCATGTATAGCAAATCAATACACGGCATATAGCCCTAAAACAAATGTAAACAAACAATGGGATACATACCTTAATACACGACCACCTGTAGGTTATATTATGGGTGTCATAATATAGAAGGTTACTGCCAGTATACATTACTGCCAACAAATATTATAATTATAAATACTTCACCTAACTGGTCCGCAACATGCGGCGCTAGTATGATAAAATCAAGTAATATAAAATCACAATAACTTCATTAGGTCTATATATAACAAGTTAACCTATACCCATGTCAGCTACTGAACGGTCCTTGTCATCTGCAGCCTGGGGTTTGAATGCTGTGGACACAGGTAAAACTACCTAAAGTCCCAGAGGTCACATGACATGGGGACACGGGGGAACATCGCTCACGGAAGAGCATAAAAATTACATCAATTGTTGCGGTCCCAAAGGGGCCGCAACCAAATAAATTGTAAATCACCCCCCCCCCCCCCCCCGACTGATATGTGTTACACAGCAATATTGAATTTCACTCTTTATTAAACACTACCTCTATGTTTCATAAAATGTAATAAAAGGATATAAGAAATGCCACTCAAAATACATAAGGAAGTATGTTTTATGTAAGCGATTGCAAAGGATTTAGTTTTAAGTAAATAAAGTTGTAATAAAGAGGTCATTTCTTTGTCTAATTTCTTTCACTAGCTATAATTCTTATCTTTAAACATTACTGTGGTGATTTGAATTGTGTGAAACATGAGTATCTGGAGACAAGTACTGTAAAATATGTGTGTGTGGGGGGGGGGGGGGTTATGCGGTTGTGTGTGTGTAGTGTGGGATTGTGTATTTGTGGTGTGTGTGTGTGTGTGGGGGGGTCATTTTTGTTTTGTTAGACAATGATTTTTTTTTGCTCGGGGGTCGGGTTGGGGAAGGGGGGGGGGGGCACTTGAAATTTTCGGGTAGCGGACTAAATTTTCCGCAGGGGGGGGAGGGGGGTTACGGGTAAAAGTATATATTTTCTATATACATTCTATTTCTTTAGAGGGGGGGGGATAGACGTGCTTCGGGGGTGAGGGCGGGAGGGCGGTGCCCGAAGAAGAGATGAAAGGACATGGTATCCTAGAAATCATCCCTCGCTCTTATATTGGGTAAAAGTTAGTTTTGGTCTACGAGTTATATTGGTAGAGCGCTAGACTGAAAATCCGAAAGTCTCGAGTTCGAATCCTGGTTGATGTCTGTATGATGTCCGTTAGTCCACCCATGTCTGATGGGTACCTGACTCATGTTAGGGAAGCAAAGGCGGCAGGGCATAGTGCTGATCACACTACATCAGCATTGGAAGAACATTTCATTGTTCCAAAAAAGAAATACAAACAACAAACTTGAATAAGAAATATAGTCCTCATTACCAAAAAAAAAAAACCATGGTTTTTTAAACAAACACTTTATCTGGGTGAATAATAAAAGTAACAATATTTATTTAACGAACATTTATTTAAAAAATTGCATATTTGAAAAAATCTAACATAAGTAGATCACTTTTGTCCTAGTTCTAATCCTTATACAACTACTTTTAACATTTTACGACTATAGCGAAGCACTACTGTTAAGGTGTGTATACAATTTTAACATCTTTATATTATTCATTTCATTAGCAGCTTGGTATTATTGGGTCTGAAATTGTGTAGCTGTGCAGTATCATTTCAAAAATACATTTGTTTAAACAATATATTTATTTATACTTTAAAAGCGTCAAAATTTTGTTAACGTGTAATTCAGTTATATCATGTGGAACACCGCCTACTGTACCCAACGGAGTCCTACGTTGTCCCAGCACTTCCTATCAATCGACTTGTACATTGTCCTGTAATGCTGGATACAAGACAGATACTTCCACAATAAGATGTCAGGCAAACAAACAATGGACTGTTCCAGGAAATTGTATCGGTAAGTCATACTGCAGGTATACTGTATATCTATTTTACCTTTATAAATGGAAATTGATTGTCACCATATAAATCTAATATATAAATGTAAAAGAAAAATGTATCTACCTGCCAGATATTGAGCCGCCAACGATAAAATGTCAGGCACAAATTGACGTCTTTGCTGGTCCAAAGTTATCTAAGTCCAAAGTTTCCTGGACAACGCCAAATGCAACAGATAATTCTGGGGTCGTCCTTGACCTTACAAGTGATGTCCAGTCAGGGTCTCTTTTTGACATAGGTCAAACACTTGTAACCTTCACAGCTAAGGATGCAACGAACAACATGGGAATTTGTGTTACAGCGGCTAACGTAATAGGTAAACTGTTTCATATTTTAAAACAGCTAACCCGAAAGTTTCGAGTTCGATCCTGGGATCAAGTCTTTAGCACGTCCATGAGTCCACCCAGATCTGATGGGTACCTGACTTACGATAAAAAAACTAAGGTGGTTGAGCTTAGTGTTGGCTGAGGTACTTGAAACTGATTAACTCAACTGTATTCGCCCCGTGTTGCCTGTGCGATAAACGGGAAAATTTGATGACGATATGGGATGGACCAGCAAATGCTGCTATCTACGTAGATGTGGCAATGTAATAATTATAAAATAAACATTAAAATTACATTTATAAACCATTATATACTGTATTATCCATTTACAGTCAAACGCTGTTCTGATAACAGCGCGGTAACGAATGGTATTACGAACTGTTCCTATGGAAACGCATATGGCTCTGAATGTACAACCACGTGTAACCAAGGTTACGAACTAGAATCAACATCAACACAAACTTGTTTGGAGAATCAAACATGGAGCGATGTAAAACCTTTTTGTAAACGTAAGTTTCACTTTGTTTGTTTTAAACATTTGAAACAATAAGCATTTTATAATATTAAATTAATAAAATCAGAGAACATAATTTAAAACATAAAAAAAAAAAAATTCCGTAAATGTGTATTTTCATTAAAATACTAGAAAGACTGCCTTGCTAAACAATCGCTTTTAGAAAGATACATATAATCTAATCATAAATATATATTTTTTTACAATATTGCTAATCCAACATATTTTATCAACCTACCACAACCATATACATACTATTATACCAGTTTAACAAATAACATACACTCAATGTATGATTAATAAACAACCAAATATAGTTTTAATTACACATTTATTCTACACTTGTTGTCCCTGTCAAGCGTCGAGCTGGCTATTAAGAAAAAAAATATAAAGGGTCGTTTACATTTTATTTGCATCTAGGCTAAGTCAAGAACTAATTTGCAATTATTATCAAATAAACACCAATTATTACCTTGATAATTAGTTGTTTAGGCTAGTAATTTATTAAAGAGTATTAAAATGTAAGGCCATATATATATATATATATATATATATATATATATATATATATATATATATATATATAGCATATATTTATGTAACCTAATATTATCTACTAGCAAGGGTTTATATATATATATAAAGGCAATTATACATATATATATATATATATATATATATATATATATATATATATAATATAGCCTATATTTATGTAACCTAATATTATCTACTAGCAAGGGTTTGCAGTACGCCCCCGCAAGTAGCAAATGGAAACATTGTTTGCCCTGATGGACACACTTACCAGTCTGTATGTAATCTAAACTGTAACCAAGGCTACCAAGCCTTACAGCCTTCAACTATTCAGTGCGATATAAACATACTGTGGACACAACCTGGCTCTTGTCTAGGTAATTTTTATTTTCAGAATACTTTACATATTAATGTATGTGAAATTGAAATGTAACGATTTGAATAATATTTTTTTTGACCTTTTCGTTGTAACATAACTGTAGCAGATGCTTTTCACGGATGAATATTTAAAATATGGAACACATATTGTTCTATTTTATTCTAGCTTTATTTTACGTATTTTATGTCTTCATACTATTAAGAATGCAATAATAATATTATTAAAAAAATCTAAAAATTGAGTACATTCAATACCTAAGTCTTTGCCTTGTTTGATTTTTAAGTCATAATAAGCTATTTCCACAAGTTTAATATGTGTATACATATTCATGTGCATACATATAAAAGACATACAAATACGCATATATATATATATATATATATATATATATATATATATATATATATATATATATATATATACGCAAATTAAAACTCAGACGTCGAGCCTCCAAGTTTCCCCACCGGATGTCCAGCCAGTTTTGAAGTTCCAGCTGCCAGACTTGGAGAATCTACGTACGTCACCTACCAGTACCCTAACGTGACGGACAACTCGGGTCAAAGTGTAGTTGTGGTCGGCTCTCCTGTGTCTGGTGCCAGATTTAACATCGGTACAACAACTGTCAATATAACTGCCACAGACGCACAAGGCAATACCAAATCCTGCACTTTTCAAATAACAAGCAAACGTACGTTTATTTTAAATACACAACAAAATGTTTTTGTAGAATAGCTACTGATTGGTGTTTACTTTGTGTTTTGTATGCAGTGCATCAAAAAAACTCTCATCATTTTTTTTATTAATTAAAATATTATATTTTTTTACGGAGATAACTGTTTGCATGGTGTTTCTAACACAGGTTATTATTTAGGCCTATAGATATCACCTTCTAAATGGCATTAATTATAATACCATCACTGTAATTTACCATAGGCTGTTTGCTTTCGTTTTTTTACTTTCTCGTATATACGAAGTATAGAGAAAGTATTGTAATCGTGCAAAAAAATATTCGAGATTTTTGCAAATCTCGACGTTTTACATCTCACTGATACGGAAAAACATAATTTTGCAATCTTTTCCGTATGTCTGTGTGTCTGTGTGTGTGTGTGTGTGTGTGTGTGTGTCCGTGTGTAAACACGATAACTTGACTACCGTTACAGCTAGGTTGATGAAATTTCATATTTAAGTATTTTATCAAAATCGTAGATCCGTATCAACTTTTGAGCGATTTCCGATAACCGGAAGTGGTACTTTTTCTACTTTGAATTTTTCAAAAGCCTTAAACTAGAGTACTATTTCAGATAGATAAATGAAATTTGATATGTAAGTAAAAGATCTAATCCTCTACCTTCTGTCAAATTTTGAGTAATTTCCGTTGACCGGAATTACTTATTTACGCTATTTCCAATTTCTCAAAAAAACGCATGTAAATTTATAAAGTACTAATAAGATTGCGCACTATTATGCACATCTTTATTTATCGTTCACTTGGTGTGCATTTCTTTTTTCTACGAGATTATATTCTATTTTTTAAAAAATTGAGTAATTAAAATGTATTAAAAATTATGTCTAGAAGTCTATATCCCGAGTTGCCATCCCGCATAGTGTTATATTAGAATATTCGAGAAAGTTTAGGGGAGATCACTCCCGGTTTATTTAAAATCTAATCTTTAAAGCAATTTTTTTTTCAAAATATATATTCAAATATTATTTATGTAACTTTGTGACAATTATAATATCGGCTGCAATTTACTTGAAATAAAAACAACTGTGTGAAAAAAAGGCAATTTAAAGTTATTTATCATTTTTTTAAATCGTTTTTTTTTCTTTCTAATAAGTCTAAAGCCCTTGTAATTTAAAAACATTTATGTATGGCAAAAAACGTATATTCTACAACATCATATTATCTGTCAAATGTATATGGATTGGTAGTTTGGTCTAGCTTTGTAAAATAATTATGATTTTACAGCCAGAGAATGCCCTGCGCCAAACCTGGACAACACAGGAACAATCTCCTACAACTGTTCAAACGGCTACGTCTACGGAGCAGAGTGTACAGTGAACTGTATTGAGGGAAACCCTGTCATAGGTCCAGGTTCTATTGTGTGTGACATCAGCAGTAATACAAACGGTATCCAGTGGGTGTGGCCGGGAAATTTTAAACCTTATTGTAAAGGTATGGTGTTTGATTATGTAACTTTATGTCTTTGTTAATGATTGTTATGTCCCTTGTATTATGTATATAATGGTTACGTCTCTTAAGTGTCAACTATGTCTTCGGTGATGAGCAGTTGATGTGTACCTGTTAGGCAGTTAACGAAAGGTAGAGTCAGAGACGTGTCGTCTGAGCTGTCTGTAAATAAGAATAACTTACTTTGTTTAAATAAGAGATCTATCCCTATGTAACGTAACAGGTCGCTGTATGTATTCGTTATACGCTGTATATTTATATTACTATATATATATATATATATATATAGTAATATGTATGTATATATATATATATATATATATATATATATATATATATATATATATATATATATATATATATATATATATATATATATAAACAGCCCAGACCTGCAGCCGACTGCCCTCCCCCACCAACGGTGCTATGAGCTGTGAGAAGTTGAGTCCAGCCGGTGAAGTCTGTGCCATCATGTGCAATACAAACTTCACTTACCCGGCCTCTGCACCTACACAGTATACATGTTCCCCATCTATGGGCATTTGGAAGCCTAAATCTTTTGTACCTGGATGCAAGGGTGTGCTACTAAACACTTTGTTTTTTTGTTTAGTGTTATTTAATAGGACTAATATGTGTTTAAAATTATAAAAAAAATATTAGATGTTTCCGTTAAAAAAAGAAAAATGTTAGTACACTCGTTGATAGCTTAAATTTTCTTTTTTTTTTAATAATTAAATTACGAATACAAGCCCGGAAAATCTTTACAAATTTATTACTTCAAAAAATGTTTTATAAGCTACTTTGGCTAGGTATCTTTAGAAGCTACTGTTAACCTACTCCAGCATGTATTGCCTTTTAAAATAAAATGTTCGTATAACTGCAAGCGATTATAACGATATACACTTAATGATCTCATTTAAATTTTCCATTCTAGTATTTTTTTTTATAAACTTCTCAATATTGTCACACGTTCATTTGTTGTTTTTTCAACGAACAGCACACATCAGACCTGGAGAACTGATGACAATGCCGAACATTTACTATTTTTCTGGAACCTGCAATAAGAATAGAACAGATATAAAAGAGAAGTTCATGGGAATTTTATTGAGCTTGGGACTTGAGGACATATGTGAGAACCGTTGTTCCGTGAACGGTATTGACGTCACTTGTGGTCCTGTTATCAATGCTAAGAGAAAGAAGCGTTCAGGAATGCCGTTTGAATACAAGGTTAACACATTAAAAAAAGTTTTGCATAGGAACCTAGAAATATGAATACGGTGATTTTGTTTTATTCACGCTGCAGGTTTGAAAAAAATTAAAATTCAAAATAAGAAAACAAATACTAACTGAACTTTAAAAAGATAGCACAATCGTGGTCAAGAGGATCAAGAAACCCATTCATTTTATAATCGTTCATAAAAATTAAAATTTTTATCTAAAACAAAACCTACAAACTACTTTCCTTTAAAGGGAATAATTACTCACAAAAAATAAGATTACATCAGGAAAAAAATATATTTCTTTTATTTTGCTTTCATGTTAGAATAAATGATTAAAGCGCATGGAATGTGCAATGTGGTAGGAAAACGAAAGTATTTACAACACTACCTTCATTTATTTAAGACACTGAAGGTAATGTTTAATTTTTGATTTCTTAAAATCAATAATAGATTAGAAGTGATTATTAAATATCTTGAAAGATTTTGGGGAGGGTGTAGATTGGGACGGGTTGAAAGTTAGGGTGATGTGTGAACTGGGTAGTGGATTGGGGCCAAAAGAGAGACGTCACAATTTAACCTTTTTTTAAAATCGTGGGTAATTGCAAATGTTATTGATCGATATACCAAAGTTTAAAAACTCATGTCACACTTTTAAACACATTTGTTTTAAAAATTGAAGTTTGATTACTTTTCGTCATAAACATCAAAACGCAAAAGTGTTGGGTGACGCTCAGACACCATACACATAAAATGGATAGTGCATAATATTCTGTACAAAAGCAAATTTTTTATTGGAAATTCACTCAGAGTCAACATGCATGAAACCTTCAGTTTACAAGTATTGTATAATTGTAATTATAGCGAATTGTATTAGCTAAGATTGGTGAAGCGGATGGAGTACCATTAGATTTCCTGATAAAAATCAAATTTCAACTCAATTAGATTAATAAGGGGGGCGGGGGGGGGGGGTGTCGCTTTGCTAACCTCGATTTAGATCAGGGGTCTCCAAACTTTTCAGCCCGAGGGCCGCATTAACTATGACATATCAGTTCGGGGGCCAGAGTTTCTTTTAGGCATCTCTTCGGGGAGGATGTGCCCCACCCCCTGAAGAACGTCTACCGCACGCCCCCCCCCCCCCCCAACGAAATATAATTTATTTAGAAATATTTACAAATTTCCCTCTCTTGCCGTTTTAGGTTCAGAAAATTTAAAGGACTAGTTATGTCTGCAGCAGATGCCAATATCTATACCCACTCTTCATCAGACAATAATGGCTGTGGCTTGCCTTTACTTTTAAGGAAGTCACCTATTTCCTTTCTTAACTTAAATACTCTGCTCAGAACTGTCTCGCAAAATTAGCCATCTTACTGATGTGAAATATGGTAAATTTTGCGATTTTGTGTTTGTCTCTGAACTATCTATGGTTAGATATCCTCTTCGGTAACAGTGTCATACATTCTCTGTAGGGAAGCCAGCTCTTTAATAAACACAAGAAGTTGAGGTGGAACAACTGTCAAGCGATTCATCCATTGCAATTGAAAAATGGCGAAGCTTGCTCACATATTTCGCTATTTGAGTCAGGACGTTTTCACCAATGTCTGCAACACGGCGGGCTATGGTATTTGCACCCATAGCTACATTTTCAAATTGTTTTGAATTTTCTGTACCAAGTTCCTCAGTCACCTCTAACAACATTTATTCAGTGGACAAAAAGATCGTAACGGGCCGGATGATATGACCTCGCGGGCCGCATCTGGCCCGCGGGCCGTAGTTTGGAGACCCCTGATTTAGATAATAACTATGCGAAAGTAAATGGTGTATTATATTTTTTATTATTTTTATTTTTGATAATTTTTGCTATCAGAATGGCTATTTGTCTAGGTTTAACCCTTTATCTACTGACGGTACTTATAAGTACCACTTTAATTAAATGCCTGTATTATTTTTAATTTAATAAGAATTTTAAATTTTTTTGAAGTAATTAATAGTATTATCTCCCCTGAGTCGCCGGTAGTCGGAGGTATCATTGTTTTTTGAAAATTACTGGTGTGACGCAATTTTCAATGTCTTGCTATATCGGTAGTTCACAATTTTTCTGTACATTTCTCACATACGTTCTTGATTTCCCTTTGTTTTACCTTATTTTTCAAGTTTTCGACCCCAAATATTTTTTATTGGCAACTTCAATAGTCAGGTAAACGCATTTAACTTCTAGTTATACAATTTTAATCAAATTGTCTTTATATTAGATCGATGTTTATAAGTGGACTTATAAGTACCGTCAGGGCACACGGTCATTTTTTTAAGATTTTTAGAAAATGGCAGATTTTTAATGTGGAGTTACATAAATATTGTCTTGATAATTAATTATCGAAATGTACTCAAAAAATGATATTTACACATTTATAAGAAGGTTAGCATATGGTTTACCTAAGAAATATTGTAATTACATGTTAATTTCTAGTAGTAAAAAATTAACAAGAATAAAGGTATCAGTTGCAGGCTTGTTTACAAGGTTTAGTTTACTTCATTTGTATACCAAAGCCTAGTTCTAGTTGTAAGATTTAATTTGTTAGTTATATTTACTGCACTAAACGGTCTTGCCTACAACAACTAGCATTTACGTAATGTATACATGTATGCTAGTAATAGTCCATACTTCTGCATATAGTATTGATCTATATGGTAAATTTTAATCAGTAAACAGAAAGGAGTAGGCCACTACGGCTATCCTAAACACATTGAGCTCACTTCTATTTATGAACTTTGCACTGTAGTGTAGACTTGTCATAACATTCTAGTAGGCTACAATTATTCTAGTATTACTTGCAGTTGCGTGCTGAATGACTAGGCTTTTGTTTGTTAATGCGGCTTATTGTACTAGCTATTGGAAGCTTCCAGCAAAAGCATGTTCATTCCGGCAACCGTTGCTACACCAGAAAGACCACAGACAAGATTGAGGGAGCATGACATGTCGACTACTTTTGTTGTGTTTGAGGTCTAACATGTGTTCCGATAGAAAATCCAGTAAAAATCGTACTCAAAATATACTTTTGTGCTGTATTTATGTGTGAAAATTACAAAAAGTGATTGTTATAATGATTGCCATGTTATTAGGTAATAAACTGTATCGTTTGTTCCTGTTTTGTAAAAAAAAAATTTTTGAAAAAAAATGTCCTAGTTTACTGACGGTACTTATAAGTACCAATATCTGTTTGGGCCATTAAAAATTTATGAAACGAAATTTCCTTCGATATATGATTTGAATGAGCCAAAAGCAATATAGTAACACTTTGTTTAAGTAAAAATCTCATTCAGAACATAATTCCGTAAATAAAGGGTTAAATAAATCCCGTAACACTTTAGAATATTTCTATAACCTTTCTTCACCCCAATGCACCCAGATAGTTCATCCTTCAATAAAACAAAAATACGTTCTGAATAAAGAAGTCACCAGATGGATAAAAACCTTCTGTACTTTTAAGGTGTTAATATATTTTCCGTGTTTTGAGGGGTGTGGTTGGGTTTTTAAAAAAAATCCCTATTAATGCTATTCGAGATAGCTGTAAATTAAACTATATTCAGCGTTAATAAGCACATACGATTTTTTCCCCAAGGCCAGTTCAAGGCCTGGCCGTACAGCTAGTGGTACCCTAAAGTGGAATTCTTTCAGAAATGTAGTAGTGTAATGTAAGCTTTCCTACATGCCATTATTTTTATTTTCAATATTTTTGTATATCTAATTACAGATTTCAGCACATATCACATTCGGCAAGCTAAATACCAGCTCGCCTTTACGTTACTTAGGGAATTTGGTCCGCACAGTGAATGAATATCTGGTGAACAAGTTAGATTCAGGGGATTTTTATGTTCCCAATCTGGGCATGCAATACATGACTGAAAAGGGTAAAGTCGTCGTTTTATGTGAACCAGGGACTCTTTTTATTCACAGGACAATGTCATGTGGTTAGTATTATAATATTGTACGTATAATGTTGCCTTAGAGTTTGATGGTTAGATATTGTGTTTAAACTATTTTCCGATAATACACTTCTAATTCTAAATGCATTTTGTTGTAAAATGTGTATGGTCTATTTGCTGATATAAAAAACACAAACTCAACTTAACTTAAGACATTATTAATTTTACAAAATTAGGATCTATAAGTATACGTTTAAAAACTCACGAATAAAAGTTGCAACCTCTTATTCCAGCCGGCTGTGGCCCAGGCCACATGTACACCAATGAGACCAACAGCTGTACAGCCTGTCCACCAGGGACATACCAGGACCAGGAGATTTCATTCAGCTGTAGACCTTGTCCTAGTGGGACTTACACCAAGCAGGGCATGGCTACGTATTTAAACATGTGTGAAAAGTCGCTCTAATATTATCATAGTATTTGAATGTGAAAAGATCAACCAGCATTACAAAAGTACCAATTTAATAACGTACATACACATTGTCCAGGTGATTCATTATTGGGCGATTCCCCTGACACTCCAGTGCTTTTTCTTCTTGGTCGACTATTTCCATTTTGCTTCCGCCTTTGCACTTTCTAATCTTTGGGGTTACAGTCCAACATAATTATGTCTGTTCCTGTTATTTGATGCTTTCTGCGTTTTATTCAATTTATCATCATTTACTTTTTTTGTAAAATAAAATATATCGCTCATTACGTATCAATTATTTGTTTCTAGTTTCTAGTTTAGAGTTTTAGTTTACCGTGAATTTAAGATGTATTATATAATTTTTGACATTATTTCGTAAACATGTACACAAGAACAATTCTTGCAACCACCAATAGGGCTTTTTTGTATAGTAATTCAGAAGCTCTGATGGTACATAACTCTCTTGAGGGAAAGTATAGGCAACTCACACACTATACTTGCATATAACGCTGTTACGAAACAGGTGACCTCTACTTTACTTGCCCCATTGTCCGCCAGGTTCGAAAAGGAAACTTTAATTCATGATCGTATATGATATTAGTTACGCCATTTGTTTATAATTTTCTCCATAGGCGCAAGAAGTACAGACTTCTTATTTTTCCCGAGTGCAAGAACTTCCGATTTAAAAAAAAATAGGTTAAAACAATTATCATTGACATGAACAACAGATTAATATTAATGCTTGACCTTGCGATTATAAATTAATTTTTCACCACAAAATTTACCAGTCAAACTCAATTCCCAACACGAAATTTCGGACGCAAAGAGTCGACTGTGCCCGATTCAAACCCTTGCGTCACGATTACGGACGCCCTCACAAACCAGGCAGTACAATGTGCGGTCGAGACGGGTAAACAGATGGACGGTGGGGTACAAGTACCCTGCATTCATTGAAGTGAACAATATACCTTACGAGAAACTAATAGACTGAAGCGACCAATTCACGCCATTCAAACCTGTGTCTAGGTCTGTCTGGCTAACAGGAGAGGCCTCATAAGACGGTGGAGTCCATATAGATAAAAATAAAGGGAAACTCAATACTCCCGCAAGGTTAAAGTTCATATATTAACATACACTGGCCTAGAAATCACAGGCCACAGCTTGATACACATTAATGAATGCTTGACCAGGCTAACCTCAACTATAATTATTTATTTCAAAGTATATTAGTTCCACTATAAGTTTCAAATTTTCGTTATCAATAATTTGATTATCTCTTCGACATATTAAAAAAATAATTCTGTTGGTATTTTAATATCAGCTAAAATAAAGAAAATATAGAATGGGGGGGGGGGGGGGGGTGGGAGGGAGAATGACATGTGAATGCTAAATCACTTGTGGTTAGCTATTTACGGTGGCCGGAAAGAACCGCAACGGAAAAAAGCGCAACGGAAAAAAGCGCAAATCAAAAAGCGCAACGGAAATAAGCGCACACGGAAAAAAGCGCAAAGAGAAAAAAGCGCACACAGAAAAAAGCGCAAAGAGAAAAAAGCGCAAACGGAAAAAAGCGCAAAGAGAAAAAAGCGCACACAGAAAAAAGCGCAAACGGAAAAAAGCGCAAACGGAAAAAAGCGCAAAGAGAAAAAAGCGCACACGGAAAAAAGCGCAAAGAGAAAAAAGCGCAAACAGAAAAAAGCGCAAAGAGAAAAAAGCGCACACAGAAAAAAGCGCAAACAGAAAAAAGCGCAAACGGAAAAAAGCGCAAAGAGAAAAAAGCGCAAACGGAAAAAAGCGCAAACAGAAAAAAGCGCACACGGAAAAAAGCGCAAACGGAAAAAAGCGCAAACGGAAAAAAGCGCAAACAGAAAAAAGCGCAAACGGAAAAAAGCGCAAACAGAAAAAAGCGCACACAGAAAAAAGCGCAAACAGAAAAAAGCGCAAACGGAAAAAAGCGCAAACAGAAAAAAGCGCACACAGAAAAAAGCGCAAACGGAAAAAAGCGCAAACAGAAACAGAAAAATGCGCAACCAGAAAAAACATAACGAGAAATGTGCAAAAGAGAAATTTAGCACAAAGACCTTATGGACTAGATGACACATTTATACATGACTGTTAGGGCTGCTGTGAGCGTGTCGTGTTTGATCACGTGATCTACTACCATTTAAAGCGTACCACTACCATCTGCATTCCCATCACCACGATACAGGCGATAATCACTTTACACAATGCCTATTATTTTCTTGGTCAATAATTATTCAACTACTATTCTCGTATAAACATAAAACTATCGACATTACACGAAGTATCTTTCACATTCTCCCTAGTCCGAACTACCTAGCTTGCATACTATAACAACCCGTTCCTATGGCAAAACTTCACTCTCTTTCATCCGCGTCATCAAACATGCATTCGTCATATCTCTCGTAACAACATTCATTCGCACCAAAATAACAATTTTGTATTTAATATTTTTTCACATCATGACGCACCTACCTACCTACCTACTACGCACCTACGCACCTACCTACCTACCTACCTAACTACCCACCTACCCACCTACCCGCCTACATACTTACCAAACTACCCACCAAAAAAGTATCGGCGAAGTTCGTAAGTTTCGTAAACTGTGCTAGACATCTTTTTTTAAATGAAAATTCATTGACATCATTGACATACGTTACATATATGTTACATTTTGCGACAACCTTAATTAGTGCGTTGGGCTTGTATGAAAACTCACTTCGAACTAACTCAATTACATGCTATTTATTTTAACATTACACGGTAAGCGTCACCCAACTGTTGTGATGTGAGGTGAGGACAGGTTCGACAATAAACCAACACGAAAGTACGAAAGAGACATAGATTGCCTATTAGAGAATGGACCCCTTAACTTTCCTAACCCCACCATTTATTATACCCTACCTAACCTCTAAATTTACTGCGTTAAATGTCACTTCCCTCCCAATCGTTCCTATTCTATAGAATTGTGTATACTATTTATTTACATTCTTTAATCTCAATATAACTAAAATAGACTTTTGTTTGAAGGGTAATGAAAACATGTAAACAAAAGGGACGCTACTCTAAATCTATGCGAATACTTATATGCAGTGGCGTAGGCAGGGGGGTTTATGGGGGGTCATACCCCCCCCCCCATAGACCCCTCGGTATATATATATATATATATATATATATATATATATATATATATATATATATATATATATATATATACGAAAAGTTTACGAAACTTACGAACTTCGCCGATACTGTTTTGGTGGGTAGTTTGGTAAGTATGTAGGCGGGTAGGTGGGTAGGTGGGTAAGTGGGTAGGTGGGTAGTTAGGTAGGTAGGTGGGTAGGTGGGTAGTAGGTAGGTAGGTAGGTGCGTCATGATGTGAAAAAATATTAAATACAAAATTGTTATTTTGGTGCGAATGAATGTTGTTACGAGAGATATGACGAATGCATGTTTGATGACGCGGACGAAAGAGAGTGAAGTTTTGCCATAGGAACGGGTTGTTATAGTATGCAAGCTAGGTAGTTCGGACTAGGGAGAATGTGAAAGATACTTCGTGTAATGTCGATAGTTTTATGTTTATACGAGAATAGTAGTTGAATAATTATTGACCAAGAAAATAATAGGCATTGTGTAAAGTGATTATCGCCTGTATCGTGGTGATGGGAATGCAGATGGTAGTGGTACGCTTTAAATGGTTGTAGATCAAGTGATCAAACACGACACTCTCACAGCAGCCCTAACAGTCATGTATAAATGTGTCATCTAGTCCAGGGGTCTCCAAACTACGGCCCGCGGGCCTGATGCGGCCCGCGATGTCCTCTCATCCGGCCCGCGGAGAACTTTTTGTCCATGAAAAAAAACGTTTGTTGGTGATGGCTGAGGAACTTTGCCCAGAAAATGAAGAAGAAACTGGCCCCCGAACTAAAATTTGATAGTTAATGCGGCCCTCGGACTGAAAAGTTTGGAGACCCCTGATCTAGTCCATATGGTCTTTGTGCTAAATTTCTCTTTTGCACATTTTTCGTTGTGTTTTTTCTGGTTGCGCATTTTTCTGTTTCTGTTTGCGCTTTTTTCCGTTTGCGCTTTTTTCTGTTTGCGCTTTTTTCTGTTTGCGCTTTTTTCCGTTTGCGCTTTTTTCTGTTTGCGCTTTTTTCTGTGTGCGCTTTTTTCTGTTTGCGCTTTTTTCCGTTTGCGCTTTTTTCTGTTTGCGCTTTTTTCCGTTTGCGCTTTTTTCCGTTTGCGCTTTTTTCCGTGTGCGCTTATTTCTGTTTGCGCTTATTTCCGTTTGCGCTTTTTTCTCTTTGCGCTTTTTTCCGTTTGCGCTTTTTTCTGTTTGCGCTTTTTTCTGTGTGCGCTTTTTTCTCTTTGCGCTTTTTTCTGTTTGCGCTTTTTTCTCTTTGCGCTTTTTTCCGTGTGCGCTTTTTTCTCTTTGCGCTTTTTTCCGTTTGCGCTTTTTTCCGTTTGCGCTTTTTTCTGTGTGCGCTTTTTTCTCTTTGCGCTTTTTTCCGTTTGCGCTTTTTTTGTCTTTGCGCTTTTTTCTGTGTGCGCTTTTTTCTCTTTGCGCTTTTTTCCGTGTGCGCTTATTTCCGTTGCGCTTTTTGATTTGCGCTTTTTTCCGTTGCGCTTTTTTCCGTTGCGGTTCTTTCTGGGAACCGCTATTTACAAACACACGTAAATGGTAGAGAATATAGTTCGTTATAAGCTTCTGTTGAATGACTAACTGCTAGACAAGCGACGAATATGCCTTGCTGGGAATTAATATTCACCATTTCTTGGTACTTGCTTATTAAATTGAAAGCAGAAAGTTTCCGTTACATTACTCAATATAAACAATACATAACTAGAATTAACATAACAATACTTTTACAGATTCTGTAAATCGAAAAAACATCTATTGTTCTCGAAAGTGAAATTTAGTGACAACCCAGACAAGTTCTACCTTTGCTCTTGCCAAATAAACAGATTTATTTTAGAAAAAAAAATTAAGATATGAAAGGATATGCTTCTTTCTTTTAATAATATAAATGATCATAAATGATACATATCTTCATCTTATTTTAAATAAAAATTTAAACAAAATAGTTTTAACTTTCAATATCAATGAGTTCTATTTATAGAACTACAGTTTAAAAAGACCTTTATGAGTTCCAGATAATTTAACTATTTTTAAACAGGCAAGCACGTATTTTGTATTTATTTCTACTTATTAAACAACAATACAGAAACAAACTAAAAAAGCATTGGAAATATTTATAAATTTAAAAAAGGGTACCTCAGAATGATAGTATATATTATGTATAAATAAATAACAAGCTGAAAAAGTTTAATTTAACTAAAGACGTTAAAAAGGATACAAAATGTAAATCGGAATTGGGCTCTATATTAAAATGTCATAGATAAGTACCAATTACACTAATCTAAAAATTAAATTGTAGTATAAGAACATATTTGCCAATATAACCTTTCTAAAATTAATTTAGAAACCAAAACCAACAACTATTTTGTAAACTAAAAGTTAGATTGTAATTTTCTTTCACAAAAATTGATAAAACACTTATTTTTAAAGCATTAATGAACATTTCTTTAGACAGTTTTGTATGTAGACTTTAAATTGTAATTTATGAAAAAACATATTTTCAAAGTAACTTTAAACTGAAATTTGATGATTATATTAATTAAATGTGCCTACGTTTTGGTAGATATAAATTAAAAATCACCACAGCAATGTAAAATAAAAGTTAAAAAAAAAAACATTTTATAAGAAGGAGGCCTTTTTAGTCTAACTTTGTAGAGGGGTAAGAATCCGTAGTATGCTGTATGTAATGTGATGCATCAGTTCTAGGGAAAACTCTTCCACATCTAAAAAAAACCCACAAAAAACAGTTTAAATACCAATATATTAGTTGTTAATTATGTATACGTTTATAAAGTTACAGATTTCACTAAAGAAAAAAAATATATTTTTTATAAACTCACTTTTTCAGAATAAGGAAACTTATGATTCCCAATAAAAGAAGGCAGACTGCACTGGAAATAACAGCTGCAACTATTATTGTTACATTTCCCCCTGCAAATATGTTAAGCTTATTCATTTCATTGTTAGCTTTTATATTTGCATTATATCATAAAAGAATCGTTATCTAATCATATATTATTTAGCCAGTAAAGACATTTATAATATGAATATGTGTATGGATGAAAAATTGATTTTGTTTTTGTAATGACTTTATAATATTATAAAATATACTATCCACACATGCATATCTAGGCTTAATTGCTAAATTCATGTATTGTTATATATTATAAACAGCTACCATATTTTAAACCATATTTTGTTAAAATATACTAAGATAAAAGTTTATATTTTAAAATCGTGATTATAAATTTAATTTCTAATGATAACTAAATGCGTGAGACACATATATGCTGCACACGCGTATATGTATAAGCTTTATTCACTGCAGACTTAATAGTAACGATGTTTATATATAGGCCTATATATATGTATTTGACTGTGCTTTTCCGTATATCTATTAAATCAGTTATAAACATCCATTTCAATCTTTAAGTAACAGTTTTTAATGATGCAATTTTTTCTGGCAACTAATTAGACTAGGAATTTTGTCAATAATCTTAGCAAAAATCCATTTACATTTAACAATTGAATTTGGGGTTCAGAAGGCCAAGTTTTAAAAACAAGTTACCATTGTTATCTGGGTTTTGTCCTTTGGTTGTCATTTCCCCATTTGAAGGTTCTATCATGAAAGGATAAATGTCTTCATAGCTGATTGGGTTGGGTGTGCAGTGGTTAAGATAGTACGAGCCTCTTCCTGATGTTGTAGTACCTGGTATTTTAAACAATGTTGAGCTATATTCAGTTTGTCAACAAATTATTGTACAATAAAGAACTCTGCAACACAAAAGATATACAGCACACCTGCGTCTTCTTTTCGAGCATTGAAAAAACAAATTACCTAAAAATTAATAAAACATTTTTTTTTATCAGCCAGAATGTTTTGAATTGCAAATGTACCCAAATAATTTACGGTTTTTCCTAAATTCAGGAGACACAAATAATTTATAGGAAACATTTTATTTAAAAACGTCAGTATTATTTTAAAATGAACGAAATGAGACCTGAAAAAATCTGCATCTTTAAATTCATTTCGATCATTTTTCATACTTGACTTTGCACTTAAAATGCATGTGTAATCACCTGTAATTCTGAATAATTTTTAAAGAAGGAGCTCTTATTAGCTTTTACAATGTAAAATAATTGCATTTTGCTTGAGCGGCTTTCAAGATAGCTTGTGTTTTAGCTTTCAAACATATTTTTTTAATTGCCATGTAGAGCAGTTTGATACTGCATATTGTATCCTTGCAACATCTAAAGGTCAGAAACGTCTCAGATATGCATACAGTTGTACTTTTGATAAAATTAAGTTCAAGAAATACATTCACGTGAAATATTAAATACATTAATTTTGATAAAGATGGTCAGAAAATGATGAGGGGAATCACTTTAACACATCCCTACAACATATTATGTAAATGGATGCTGAGTAAATGGCACAAAGGGTAAAACAAGTAATTAAAGTGATGTTATTGTAAATCGTTTTAATAAAATTAAAAAAAAATCGGAAAAATTGACTACCTACAATCTATGAGGGAATAGTCCACGTTACTGATCCAACTTAACCTTTTATAGCACATCTACTACCCACGTTACTTCCTAACACTAGTTTTTAACTGGTATATATTTGTACTGAATAGTAAACATACTAAGGGGAGACAATTTTAACCATTCATCACTCGTGACAAACAGTCTCAATCTAAAACAGATTCATAACACTCCCATCAGAGGTGTAGCGAGGGCGGGGCGGGGTTGCGGACTGCATCGGGTGTTAAGATAGATTATAAATAAATCATTGTGTCTCCACTTCTTCCCCCTTCTTACTACTCACATGTTACACACCTGGACCTGAGTCCAGCGGTATCGTAAGGCTGACCGGGCCTTGACCCCGGACTGTGGTCGCAAGGGCGGAGCCTGGGTCATGTAACCTGTAGGGTAGGGACGCTACAGTCCGGCTACTCTACCTTGTCCCCTATTCGGAGGTACACGTTTGATTTGGTGCTACGGTACTAGCCATTATAATATTATACTTAGTTTGGTGCTACGGCACATGTTTTCCACGGAGAAATGTAACTTAATTATATAGCTGCTGCTATACATTTATGTGCGGTATGACTCGATAGAGCATATTTGCCAAGCCGGGTGACAGCATTTATGGGGGTGACACCATGGCAAAAAATTGCAAAATATACACAAGAAAAATGCTTTTCGCAAACTCCATTAATGATTAATTAAAGTTAAGTACAAATCACAAGTCGATAATTCTTACAAAATGGTGGGGGTAACACTATGACGTAAACGTGCTAACTGTAGAGAAAACTATGCTACATAAAAGTATATTATTAACAAACTAGGCCTATTGATAAACATCGTTACTATTAAGTCTGCAGTCAATAAAGCTTATACATATACGCGTATGCAGCATATATTTAAATCATAATTCCAAGTAGGCTGACACACACACACTTATATATAAACACACACATACATACATATATATATATATATATATATATATATATATATATATATATATATATATATATATATATATATATATATATATATATATATATATATATATATATATATATATATATATACATATACTTTTTTTCTTGGGGGGAGGGGTGGCACCACGAAGTGCCGCACCAGTTGACACCCAATATAACGACGCCACCGCTTCCCCTGACTTGAAACCTGGCTATCCCCGTGAGTAAATTATCACATGTATTTATTATAGGAATATAGTACCCGGAATTCTTAGTTAAGATTTTATAAACTTAAAATGTAACTATAGGCCTACAGCAAAAAGTGTCTCCTAATTACCTGAGGGGCAAGGTACACAACTAGATGACTTAGGCTGGTCCTGGTACAATCCTTTATCACAATACAGACATGAGCCATTTCCTGGAGAATAGGATCCTGCTGGACAGTCCACTGGTAGGAATATATGAACTAAAATTTTATTTTACTGTCTCTATATCCCCACTTGTGTGTATGGAGTGTACTCATCAACATGTATAATTTCCATTAAAATCATTTCAAGAGGGACTTAAGAATTAAAACAATGCTAACTAAAGCAAATTACCACAAAACCCATCCACGAACCCAGTTCCTGGCTGGCAAACTATTGTTGTCTCCACAGTTTGTACCTGGCCAACGTATTTCACCTCATCAATAATGACAGTGAAAATTGCTGCATTGTTTTTTATGATGTCTTGCAGAGTTTGTTCAACTGCCAACAGCTTGGCCATTTCTGCTGTGGCTTCTTCTTCTAAAAAATCATTACACTAATTAGTTACGCCAATCACACTACTACCACACACAAATAAAACTATTGTATACTTTACATTCCATATATAATAAAGCAGGGAGGTGTACAATTATGAAAACTGTCAAAAGATCAGTTATTAAACATGATTAAAATACTTTCTCTATAGGCCTACTCAGAAAGCAAAAAGTCTTAACAATTTTTCAAAATAACTTTTAGTTTTAGAGAATATTTATATTACTAGATAGATTTCCAAGGAGTGTTTTTTCTGTATCATTATAACCAATAGGAATTACGTTGACTTGCGTTGTAATTGTGCCTGGAAATAAAAAAAATTACATTGTTGATAATTCGATTTAAAATAAATTAGTTTTTTTTGTTATTAATGAATCAATTTTTACATCATTTAAGAGTAGATGTTCAAGCTAAAACCTCATAATAAAAAAAAAATTGTCTTCGACAAATTTGCATGCCAAAGGCAAGATAAAAAGCCACATAACTTTGTCCAACTTTTATTCTAATCATATAATGTAATGTACTCACTATGTTACAGGTGTATACTTCAATTGATTTCAGGAAACATAGTAACATGGAAATGTTTTCATAATTGAAGCCACAATTTTATTGGTTTTATAGAGCTATTTACTTTTTCTTTTAATATTGTCTAATAAATATCTAATGAATTGTTTAAAAATGATCCACACTACTCAATGCATAGATATTATCTTTAAAAATATGTATATTTACCACTTGATCTCTTCTTGTTTGTCTTACAGTTTGACTGTGACGTCACTGTAAATGTACAGGTGCCTTGTTTAACACAGTTCTGTTGTGCTAGTTGGTTATTTACAGAACTTTCTAGATCAACAGCTGCTGGTAGCTTGTTGCAATCTACATCATAGGTGGTTGTAATAACAGGGGACACTGACTCAGGGATCTTTTGGTCTGTGAAAGAGGTGATGTTTTATCAAAGTACACAAGACAAAATAACAAAAAAATGCCAATCACCTTTGTCTGGTTCTACGAAATATAACATGTTCATGGATATCTCCTGTAATACCATAATTCATGTTGAAATGTTATTACATTTTCTTAAATTGTGCCATCTTCTAAAACATTTACAAGAAACAGTTTTTCTCCATATGTATTTCACTGTTAAGTAGAAATGCATAGAATATCACAGCTCTGCACGTTGAAATAAGTAAAGTTCCACTTACAGACATAATAACCCATAAGGCTGAGGACATGTTTGGTTTTTTTACCATTATGCATATACAGGAATGGTGTGCTCAGCACTCTATACCATCATAGCAAAGTGGACTAAGGGAAATCCTGCTGAATCTGTTCCAGCTTGGGATCCAAATTTGAGACTTTCAAGATGGCAGTCACGCGCTCTACCACTTAATTATGGCATGCTATTAAAGTTAGATTACCCCTTTGAACCCAGTGATCAATAGGACAGATGACTTAGACATCAACTTTTTCTATGGCTTTAGCATTTTATTTCCCCAATGTGAGTCAGGTAAACATAAAAGATGGGTATACACACGGACATCATACGGACTCAAGCCTGGATCCACCTCAAGGTTTTTGGGATAGCAGTGTCGTTACTGGTCTCTTGGCCAGTGTTGGAAGTAAGTGCAGATATTTTTTCATCAAAATACTTAGATCGGTATAAGATGTAGATCTATTACATTAAGTTATTTTTATGAACTTAATTACTTTTAATAAAATGTATATGATAATACAATTTTCTTTAAAATTTGTTTTAAAATAATAGATAATATGTAATCTTCACTTTCCGGCTATTGTGTTAAATTTATAATGAATATCATTTATACCTGCACAAGCTGGGGTAAGACCAGTAGGATTATCCCGTGTTTGTTGTGACCAGGTGTAGTTACTGGTGGGTCCACATTGGAAAATGTTGTCAGTTGATGGCATTAGAACACGACCAGGTAGACAGACAATGTTACATGTCTGCAGGCCAGAGCTGTCTGTAGAACAGTTCCATTCTTTCTGGCCCTCACGTAACTCTGGGTCCTTACATACTGCAGAATGAATATATACATTCAGATATAGCTAATAAATGTGTAAAAAATTGATTCATTTTGTTATACATTATTTCCACATGGTGCAGAAATTTCGCTATATTTAACTGATTGTACTTTTATCAGTTACTATAAGCTTCATAATAGTGAACAATAGTACAGCTACACAAAGTCCTGTACACAATAGGTGAAGTAAAATTAAAATATTACTTCATATTAAAATGCGGAGCAAATGAACAACTGTCCTAATGTTAATGTGAAAACTTCACGTAATTGCTTTAAGGTCCGTGTTTGTTTATCCATCGTTATGGATTGTTCATGCAAGATTTAAATTATTCAGTGAACATTTTAGGTTTATGCTAAAAGAACACTAGCTTATCTGTGTTATGCAATGTCTAATGGTCTGTTTTGTAGCAAACAACCCCCCATCCGAAAAAATGCAACAGAATAAATATATATCAATCATTTTCGCCACAAATTAATACAAACAATGCATGTTATTGAATAAGAATCTTGCAGACTAAGGCGGGTGATAATTGACAAGGTGGTGTTATCCTGTTCCCATAATTAAAGTATGACAGCTTTTTATAACTTTTATAATCAAATACTACCAGGACAATCTTGAGAGTTGCATGGCAGTGTTTGAACTGCATGAGTAGAGTCACAAGGTTTTCCTCCCAGACTTGGAGCTGGGTTGTCACATGACCTTTGTCTGGTTGACACACCACCTCCACAGCTACTGCTGCAGGTGCTCCACTCACCCCATTCTCCGAAATCTCCATTAACTAGAGCGAAGTAAATGTTAAGAACAAACATTTTACAAGTTTTTCTTTAGAAACTTCATTTTAAGAAATGATTGCACACTAAATTTCTCTTATTTTATTTTGTCAAGTACTGTAATTTTAGCTGAAATATTTATCAATTCTAATATACCTCATTTTATGGTATTAAGGACTACTGCAATACAGTTTGGGATATTATCAACACTCTAAATGATTCACCCTCCTCCACTTTTGATAAAATCTTCGTCAAACTTCAACCTATACGCTGTTACATGTGATAATATACTTTACATTACAAGAAAAATTATTTTTACCTGGACAAACAGACAAGGTACAAAGTCTGCTGTTGGATTTAGGACCCTGACATGACAGACCACCATTAACAGCAACTTGGGCAATTGTACGAGAACGTGTTGCTGTACCAGAGCCACATGTTACATCACATGTCCACTGTGTCCAGTCTCCCCATCTACAGTCTGGTCAACAACATGTATATATTTGTTAACACTATCTCTTCAAATATATGTTGGTTAAAGATGTGTATTACCTTAACCCTAAATGGAAAATATCAAACGGTAGGCGTAAGTTCAGATAGGATAGTTGATTGTCGAGACAGACCTACTGCAGCTTGAAGCGTCAAAATATGGAAGAAGAAGACACAAGACAACTCTCAGTGGAAGAAGGTGGTGAGGCGAACCAACGCCCGCCATGAGTTTTAGTGGCACAGTATTGCATGGATGGATTTGTTTCACAATGTGTAATGGACACCAGCGAGAAAAGTCTCAAAGGTATTTGAGAGGTGTGTAAATTCATTTAAAAATCTTGCACGGTGTAGTTACAATTAATATGGTTAAAATCCTGTCTGTCTGGTTTTTTTCGGACTTTACTAAAGATTGGATGTATTTGATGTTTTTAATATTTTCGGTAACTAAATAAACATTTTAAAAAAGCAAAAACAATTTGGTTTTCACGTGTAATGGCGACATAAACAATGGCATCCTGCTATTGGATAGGCCGCCATGAATTTTATTGTAGGCTACACATTGTAAGCTAAAAATAGAAAACTAGGTCATGGGTTTTTAAATTTGCATTGTTATTTAAAATCTTGATCTGCAACGTTTTGTAAACAAATAGTTATCGATCACTAAGTTACTGTACAGCCAATCAATATTTGTCTTACGAAAGTGAAACATCCGGTTATAACTTAGGCTTGATTAAAATAAATAGAAATGTAGCCTTAAACTCAACAAATTATTTTCAAGTTCTCTGGATTTGCAACTTTTATAGCATTTATTCTAAAAATATAAAGTTTCTAAATTAATTTTTGGCTAAAGTTTTTATTTTTTATTTTTTTACGGTCTAAATCTAAAAAGCACGTTTTTATTCCATGTCAACAACATTATGGAAGGAATCTCGTCAACTCGCTGGTGTCCATTGGGTGTTCTTGTATATATTTAGTGAGTGCGCATAAGGGGGTGTGTACTTGAGAATATAACGTATAACAAACGTGTCAAGGTAGCATGTTACATGCAAATTAAAATTATATTATTGCTTAAAAAGACTAAGGAAATTAAAAACTATATGTGTTACTTAATGATACAATTGTTTATCAGAACCTTAAAAATTGCTTTGTTTTATTTTTTTTTAATAAAAAAGACACTTGTTATTAAATAGCTACTATGCTAGACAGTATTATATTATAATGCTGTCGTCAATTTTTTTTTTCATTAATGTTGACATAAATTAAGAAACTGTGTCACTTGCAGAGGTGTAACTAGTGTAGGGTCAGTGATGCATCCACAAACCCTATCAGGATGCAAAATAGTGTAGAAAAAAAAAATCTGACTTTGATTTATTTTACTGAAACTATACACAGTTGAAGTTAAAACAAATAGACTGCTACTTGACTCAACAACCATGTATTTACATCAATTGTGTAGCACCAAAATAAAACAGTTAATAAGCATGGACTGGTAAAAGGCGCCGCCGACCATTTCAAACTAGGACAGGGGTGCTTTTTCATCATCTTGAAATAATGTATACATCGGGTGTGGGGTTAAAAAATTAGCAAGTTTGACATAAGGCACCGTAGTATGTTTCTACGACTCTTATCACATGTAGCAGTTTGTATTATGTAAATAAATGGAGAGTTGGCTGTGATCTCATTCAAGTTTTTATCTGGATTAATACTTTTTAAATAGTATTTTGTTATTGGTTGACTTTAGTTAGGTATTATATGGAGAAGCATTGACTATCTTTTAAAGCATCTATGTTTTAGTGGAACATAATAACGATTTTCCTTACACCTTACTTGTAATTCATATCTCATTTTTCCGCTTTAATATACGTAATGTATTTGACAAGTAAAGAGATTGGAAATAAACTAAGGATAAATGTAGTAATTATAGCAGTATATTTTTAAGTGACCACATAATTTTGAGAAAACAATTACAACTGGAAAACATGATGAAACAAGTAGGTCAATGTAAACCCTATTTAAGATTTACCTCTACATCCAGTGTCACAAGCTTCAGTCTCAGTTTTTGAACCTTGACAGAGTTCACCCCCATTTTCTGGTTTAGGACTGTCACATTCTCTTGATCTTGATTTGACACCAGACCCACAGGTCACTGAACAGCTTGACCATTGGCTCCAGTTTCCCCAGCTTCCGTTTACAGGGTCTACTGTAAATGTATTTATGGAAAAATACATCTCCAGTTAGGCTACTTTTAAAATTTTATAGTTTTTGTTTTGTATTGCTTCTTATTTAAACACAAACTGATACTGAAATGCTTCAGAAAAAATTTAAAAAAATATTAAAATTCGCTATTTCTAAAAATAAAAACAAATAATTTTAATAAATAATGCTCACCATTGGGGACATTACAAAGTAGTCCTGTAAATCCTATTGGACATGAACAAGTGTAGTCTTTGTTTTGTGGCTGATTCACACAAGTGGCTCCATTCTCACAGTGATGTCCAACACAGAAATCTGGGACATTTTCACACTGGTCTCCTGTCCATGGGTCATCACATACACATGTGAGTACATCAGTCCCAGCAATACAGGTGCCATATGCTCCACAGGGCTCACCAGTACACAGGTCTTTGTCTGATGAAATAACAAAAGGATCATTAAGCTAACGATCAAGTACCATATCTAATATGACTTAAGCACATGTGTTAGTTATCCTTTTAAATATATTTTCCTGAAGGAAATAATATACAGAAACAAAATGAGATGCAGCTTTATTTGTTAAACCATAATACTAATTAAACAAAATATACTTAAAAATCATTTTCTAACAGCTATGTCATGTAAAAAGAAATGCAAATTATTGTGCTAAATGTTATTTCTATTGTTTTGTTCTAATTTTCTTAATCAGATTTCTAAACAAAACTAAAAAAACAATACTCAAATTTAATTTAAATTGAGAGTTTTCGTTCAGCTACATACCATTGCATGTACTATCAGTCATCATGAGAGACTCCCATGGTTTAAATGCCAGCACATGATTGTCTACTTGTTTGTTACATGAAGTGCTGAACTCTTTAATCTGGGATTCTGTGTATGGCGTTGTTGTCATTTGGATTCCACTCACTAGTATTGCTGTTTAAGAAAACAAAAGATAAGGTATAATTTTGAAACAATGCAAACAATAAATGCTACAATTTGTAGCATTTTTAAAATTTCTACTAATGTGTGTTTTATAAAATTTCTGCAACATAACAGTTTTAATTTTCCGAAGATGATCCTTAACCAAACAAAAATTACTCTTACTTAAAATATTAATTTCCAAAAAGTTTCAATGAGTTTATAGGTACATTTTTTAATCTTTTAAGCAAATCATGTATATTTTAACAAGATTTCTGTATAATGTTATACTGATATTATACAACTGTTATAATATTTTAGAAAGGAGATTTATTCCTACATTTAATATTTGACGAACTCTTAAAGTAAATATCCTTCTTGATCAGATCTGACACTGAGGTGACATTTACACTTTCCATCATTTGACCATTGACGAAGAGAGTTCCAGTGCTTGATGAATACACAACAGCCACATGATTCCACTTTCTGTTGAGACAAATAAAGACAAAACTATTATGTCAGCCCTTAGCTTTAAAGTGAAACAATATTGTTATCACCACAATCAAAGTAAAGTGTTGTCATACACCATATTATTACATGTCTTCATCTTTTAATTCATTTTGTTGTTCAAATTATATATATATTGGTCATTCTATAAAAAAGTAATACCTGATTATTCGAACACTTATATCAGTTTGATGACAAATATGTAAACTAATTGTATCTATGAGCAAATAAGCTGAACGTGTGTCACAATTATTTTTTAAAGATATCTTCAGAGAAGAGGTGTCCATGTTTGAAACGTCAGAGATCCATATTAGAAATGTGAATTTTTCAGGTAAGTCATCAACAATTTTGATCACAGGTTTAGATGTGTTTTCATTCATTCGAATATCAAAAACTGAAAATTTAAAACAGATTAGAAATGTGAATATTGGTGGTGATTAAAATAAAAGTACTAGTAGAAAATAATGTATATTGTTAGACAACTCCAGATCCATTTATTTACTGCTAGAAGAAAAAACATGCATATTCGCGAGTAAAGATTATGATAACTTGTAAGCATGTTCTCTAAAAATTGTTTAAAATTATTTTCTTAGTACACGACTGAATTTAAATATATTAAAATATGTTTTAATAACATGCAACTAATTCCTTGAAAAGTGTCTACATTATTTAATAAAGTTGATTTTACTTACACAGACAATCAGTAAGTGCTGATGCTCCAGTAGACAGTGTCGACATCCCATATGGACAAAGTGTACACTGTTTCATGCCATACTGAGAGGCAAAAGTTCCTTTAGGACAAGAGTTACATGGCTGGATACCAGTGGATGAGAAGTGGCCAGGTAAGCAGAGGTCTGTAATACAAATAATATAACATCAAGAAATAAATTTTGCTGTAAAATACAGTGAGAACTTAATCACTGTTTAGATATCCATAAAATAAGTAAACATGGTACAGCAAAAATAATAATACAATTTATTTTTAACTTTATTGATTCTTTAAAATAATGACACACTTACATAATTAAAATTAAATAGTTACAAATAATATATGGCTTAAGACAACAACTGTAAACATTATTTCACTGTTCATAATGTTGCTAAACAGAGATTTATGTTTTGGGAACTTATTAAGCAGTAATTTTGCAGACCTCGTTGTCCAAAGATATTTTTTTATTGCTAAGAACGATAAGTAGAAATTTAGAGTGAAGGGATATAAGTAGATTAACTAAATTATTATTCATGAACTTACTTTGACAGTCATTTTTAGAAGTGGACATATTTGTTATTGTTGTTGTATCCACAGGACATGAGATACAGGTATATGATACCTCCTGGTCCTGGTAGGTTCCCTGAGGGCAGGTGTCACATTTACTTGTGGAGTTGTTGTAGGTGAAGCCAGGCCCACAGCCAGCTGTTTTAGAGATGTGTAAAAAGTTGTAGTATAGAAAATAAACCATTCGATAATTACCTTTTATATTTCGGTAAATTTTAAGAAGCTTGTGCTACTTAAGAAAAAACACAATTTCAAAATGCTAGACTTCATTTTAAAAACTAGATTCAGTAAAAAAAAAAACTGTAATTTAAATCCTACCACAAGACATAGTGCTGTACACAATAGCTTTTCCTGGTTCACAATTAAACACACTTTCTCCATACTTGAAGGAATCAAACGTTCCAATTTCAGGAACATTGAATTTTCCAGCATCAGAAGCATTTAAAATTTTACTGTTGACGTTGTTTACTAGTGTTTGGTAGTACTCTTGTGTATCCGCTGGTCCGTTTACATCTTTGTATTCTCCTAATCCGATAACAGCTTTAATCTGACATTAATATTTTTTTTAAATTGTAATCAAGTAGTGTTTCTTCAAGCATCTCTTTGCTCCCCGCCCACCCGCACGATGCATGTCTACCGCCCCCCCCCCCCCACTCCCACCCGAACGAACTAGAATTATAGAAAAAGAAATCTAATAAATGCCTATACTTATTAATTCGTATTAAAAAATAATAAGGAAATTGAAATTAAAATTCTAGACAGATAACATTGAACATTCGGTAATGAAATAATTTCATTTAAAAAAAGAGATTGAAAATTAAAGTAATCAGCAATAGTATCATTGATAATTATTTTAAACAAATTATTTTGCTCACTTTGTACTGAAATTGCCCAACACTTCGTTTCTTCCTTCTTTGTGATACCTGCCCACAAGTAACTTCTACTGTGTCTACAGTACAGCTCTTATTACCACACACATCTGAAAGTCCAAGGTCTTCCAACATGAGAAGAAAAGTCTGTTTGATTTCACTACTGTTGGAGTTGCAGTCTTGGGCGAAGTAATAAAAAACTGGCATCGTTAATACTTCATCAGGCTGACGGCGAACTGAAATGAAAAAAAAAAACATTCGTAAAGTTTCAATGTCGGTACTTACGATCCATAGGCAGAAGCAGTAGCCCTCATATGGTTCTTAAGCAAGGTATATGAAGGGATAGTGTGGGCAACAGTATGCCCAGCCGCCTTTTTACTTTCCTTATCGCGAGCCAGGTACTTATCCGTAATCGGAGCTGGATGGACTTATTGTCATCCTACAGAATCAAGTGCGGGCCGAAACTCGAGACTTTCAGGTTAGAAAAATCAAGCGCTCTTCTACCGAAGCACGCCATAAAATATAAAAAAATATTGTCTCATCATTATTTAATGGTATATTTTCTTAACTTTTTATATAAATACGAAATCATAAAGGCTAACTCTAAAAAACTAGTCTATATTGTAGTTTAATCACTGATGTGAGTAGACAGCTATTTTTTCTTCATTTGATCCTTTTGCTTTGGCGTTTGCGGGATCATACAACGTATATGTGCGTCATAAAATGATTTTGCATTTGTGGTCAATGTTCAGTCATTTCACGCCACGTTGATGCAAGTTGAAAATTTGGGCTGTGCTGTAGCTGCTACCTGTAAAGTTGCCTCTTTACAATGTATTCACAAGATATAAATTATTAGTATGTTATAGTTTGAATAGTTTTATTAGCTGAAAAAGAACTTTTCAACAATGTTTCAAAATAATATTTTTTAAATGATATTTTTAAAAAGTTAACAAAGTTTTTTCTAGCATTGGATTTATACACAATGCATCAACCGTTAAACAACATGATTTGATTAAAATGTAATTGATGTACACCAGTTTCTTCATATCTTACCTGTACATCCTGGAATATGATCATTTGGTTTCCACAGGCCTTTAGTGCAGGTGTACTGACCAGTTGTGGATGCTGGGTAGGTGAAATTAATGTTACACAGCAGTAGACAAATCTCGCCACCAACTGCACCTAGCGAATCGCATGATAAGGCGCCATTGGTTGGGCTGGTTAGTTTTTTGCAGGATTGAGCTGAGAGTTAAAGAATTGTAAAACAACGTTTGAAAAATGATTTCAGGAAAATGATCTACAAACACAATCCTTAATGTCATTTAAGATCAATTTATTTTAAGATGCTAATTTATAGGAGCTACAATTATGTTGGTATTTCCAGTTATTGGTCATTTTAACTATCTTCCAATAATTTTCTCAACGCAGCCACAATTAAGCATAGTAAAATATAAGATTTAATAACTTTTTCATTTGTTTGTCATTTAGCACGATTAAATCGTATGAATAGTATATAATTTAAACCAAAATATTAAATAAAATATGTCATTTACCGTTACAATAAGGCTTGACATTCCCTGACCACACCCACTGAAGTCCAGTAGACAGCTTGTCACATTTGATAGAGCTGGGACCATTGATTGGGTTACCATCTGTACAGTTGAGGAGACAGCTGGCCCCATACACGTATTGGTTGGGACAGTTGTAGTTGATGAGGACTTTGCCGGATGTGTCTATGTTGGGTGCTTCACAAGAGGTGGCTAACAAAAGTTAAAATTTTATTTAGGAGCAATATTATTTTAAATGCTCAAGACATTTTTTTTGGGCGTGACCTTCCAGGGGATAATAAAGTTAAAACAACTCTTATTTGTGATATCGGCATAACAGAGAGAATGATCAGCATTATGCCTAGCCCCCTCTATTTTCACTATGAACTCTCAGGTAAGTAGTACGACCACGCCATCGGACTGTTTGTGGCAATTAATTTAGTTAGCCATTACTTTGAACGAATTATCGAAGCTGTTGGTGTCTAATAGAAATCTAATAACCGACCAAATTAAACTTGAATCACAATATACACATTTTCTTTTTTGAGCGTTTTCTTGTTATCTTAACATGGCTATATATTTATCTATAACATTGAAAGAAGTTACATTCATATTTGATTAAAGGTGTAATCACTACTGTACTTACTTTTGACGTTGATGACAAAAGTACAGTTAGCAGAGTTCCCTTGTCTATCTGTGGCAGTTACAATCACTGTACTAGTGCCAATATCAAAAGCTGAGCCAGAGATTGGGTTGCCAAGTAAAACAACAGGTTCATTAGAATTGTCTGTAGCTTTTGGTAGAGTGTAGTTCACGTATGTAGGTTCTCCTAGACTGGCGGCTACAACTTCAAAACTTATTGGACATCCATCAGGAAATGTTGGAGCTTGGGTGTCTGTTGTAGTTTTAGTTATTACAAACATTTTAACAATCTTTGTTTTAATTCAAATGTTGTGTTATTGTTTGTTTTACCCTATTATTTTCATGCAACTGATAAATATAGAAAAACAAAAATGTAAGTTCATGTCATAAAATAATTATATGACGAAAAAATGATTTTTTATATTGCATGATCGAGCAAACCGCTAGTACTTATACTTTTTAATAATTGAATTTTCTAATTTAAATTTGAATTTTTATATCTAATAAATAATTAGTTTAAAAAAGCTAGATAATATTGGTTTACCATGGGAGACGAATGATCTGTGAATGCAAACACTAAAACAGACACTAGAAACTAAAAGAAAACTTGCGAAAAGATAATGTACGCAAACAGAAATATCATATAAATTAACCTAACAATTTTAGCTACAAGTATTGGAACATATTTGTTCTTTGCCTTAATTTAATAAAGTGGGAGGGATCTCCCCTAAACTTTCTTGTATATCTATATCTATACAAGCGAAGTGGATGTTGTTTGGTGTGTCTGTTTTGTTACTAACTGATTGGGTACATGCAGATAAATTGCAAAGAAATTGTTTTTGACAAAGTTTGCTTTTTACTCTCTTTTAATGAGCAAATTAGAGTTATCTTAATCATCGAGTTTAAAGTGACCGAAACTAACATAGAGCGACAGCGGCGTTAAATAAAATATACATTTTTAAAGTGCTTGAATTAGATCAACCAATTGCAGATAAAACAAAAAGTTGTTATTTGGTAATGAGATAGCTCCGGTGTTGTAGTCCCCTAAAAAATACCAGATTTTCAGAAATATCATATCAAAGGTTAAAATTGAAACGATTTACTCTTCAATATTTATTGTTAAAGGGACGCTACTGTGCCAGTAATTTAAACATTCCATTTCCCCCGCTCTTTGACCACACACACACACACACACACACACACACACACACACACACACACACACACACAAACACACACACACACACATACACACACACACGCACACACACACACACAATTGATTCAAAAAAATATTTTAAAATTCTTAACAGTTTTTAAAATATGTGTTAAACCTATGCTGTACTTTATTTTTATTGCAAAATAAATACGATTATAAAATTGTAACATTAGTCTCTGAAACGACGATTCCTGATCGGCCTACATGTGTACATTTTAATATAGCCTTTTTCCTATCATTGCTACCAGCAATAGCACTAACCATAATATTACTTAACTTTTAGGATTATGTTTAATATTAGTACGCTTTTATGGTCAATGTCAATCAGTAGTCGATATGTGGATATTTTTTACTCCAATTTTCGGACAGTGGGTATTTAGAAGAGAGAAATTACCCGAGGTAAGTTATGACGGGGGAAATATCTGAAGGTGATTGTCGGGGGGAGTGGTAATTTCCTGCGTCCTATATAGGTTGCGGTTAGTAGTGTCTTATTTTTGTGGATTGTCCTTCGTAGCTTTAACTTAACATTGAGATCTGGACTTAACGGAAATCGTACACAAGTTTAAAAAAACCTTTGCAAAACTCTCTTATATTTATAATTTAAAATTCATCTACCTAACATCTAAAAGTACTTAACTTATAGGCTTTTGTAATATTGGAGGTAGAGTAAGTACCACTTTCTTTTACCGGAAATCTCCCAAAAATTAAAAGAAAAATACAATTTAATTTGATATTTGAATCCTATATAATATTTCATTAACCTCCCTGAAACGGTACTGAAGTTATGGTATTTACATACATACAGTCGGGCGGACAGGTTTAAATAGCTAAGTTTTTATGGGTCCGGGAGGATATAAATCGTAGAACTTTGTCAATTTCTGGATTAAGATTTTTGCACAACTACAAAGCATCGCTTACGTTTTGTATACGATATAGCGGGTAGGTGGACATGGGCGAAAACCGTTAAAAGTGCATTTAAATCGTGTGCTTGAATACAATATTTTCTCGGCACTCTGTAGATAAAAATGTAAAAATTGCTCACCTAAACACGATCCAGTTTGCGACCACGCCACGTTAATGTTACACGTGATAGTCAAAGGTGGGTGGGCCATGTAACCTTGGTCACAGTTCAGTGAACAAACATCTTGGTATTTTTGACCATTGGGACAAGTGAAGTTACCTTTTGCTACAGGTGGTGGGTCCACGCATGATCGAGCTGTGATACAGTTTGATCAATGTTTAATCTTAAAAAAAAAACAGCCAGTTGGTAAGTGCCTAGCTCCTTTAAATGTGTAACTTTAAATAACAAAAACACAAGAATTTTTAAATGTATAATTATACAGATTTAATGATTAGAGGTTAAAAACATTAATATACAGTTTAAAAAGAGGTATTTTTTTAACCAATGTCATTCAAGACTAATAATAGAATAAGCTTTAATATTGTATATTAAGTAGTAATATTAAATAATGATTCCATTTTCATACAGCACATAACCTTACGAGTTCTTTCTTTTTTACATCTTATACATTTCTGATTTGAAAAAAAGCAAACGCTTTTTTATTTTCGTTCTTAATTGTAATATTTGATTGGATTTCCATAAAAACTATGGAGGCGGCTGAGAATAATATTGAAATTGTGGAAATTATATTTAAATAAATATTATTACAAAAAGCTGTTTGATTTTTGACGGACTTTATATGAATGCAATTGATGTTTTCGGTAACTAAACGCAATTTTTCAAAATGACAAAAACAACTTGGTTTGTAAACATTTAAGGCACAAAATGTAAACGAAAATGATTGAACTAAGTAATGTGGTTTAAAAAGAAAAAAATGTATTTAAAAATTGTATCGGCAATGTTTTTAAATACAAACTTCTATTAGCTTTTTTTTGTGAAATGATTTTTTAGAATATCAATCACGGAGTTCCTGTACAGCCAATAAATGTTTATCTGAAACTTCGGGTTACAGGTTAGTCTCGATAAAAATGGAGATGTAACCTTAAACTAAAAAAAAATATGTTTAAGTTCTTTAGATTTGCATCTTTTTAAACATCGATTCTGAAAGTATTACACTTCTAAATTTATTTTATTCTTTTTACGGATACTTTGTTGGCGAAATCTAAAACAAATAAAATAAAACAAACATGTTTTTTTGATCTAAACTCAACAAACGTGGCCACCTCCATCCTGTGTTGAGCCTTATAGGCCGTTGACTCCGATTTCAGCCTAGTTTCCGTTCTGAATTTTCTTCCACAACCCTTGTCCAACCAAAAAAAAAAATTACACGGCATCAATTATTTGATTGTGTAGTTATCTCTCCTTTATGAATTGCTTTCAGCAGGTATCGAGCCTCATCTGTCTGACGGTTCTAACTCGGAACTTTTCGGTTTTGCAGCCATGAGCGTTACCTACCAGCAGAGGCGTAGCGAAGGGGGGGGGGGGGGGCGGGGGGGGGGGAGGACGTATGTCCTCGGGCGCCGACCTTAAGGGGGTCGCAAAATCGAAAGTTTGAGGGGGGGGGGGGTGCAAATGAAAAGTTCGGGGGGGGGGGGTGCAAATCGAAAGTTTGTCCCCGGGCGCCGGGAAGGGTGGCTACGCCTCTGCCTACCAGACAATGTAGACCTTAATAGACTGGTGCCAAGTTACATTGTACCTTCTAAATGTCTACTTACGTTTACAAATTGGTCTGGCACCACTCCATGTCTGCTTTTCTAGACAAGTCTGTGTTGATACGTCCACCAGCTCATACGCTTGTTGACATGTTGTTGTACAGACAGATCCATAAGCGTTACCATGGGAACAGTTTACAAACGAGTTGTTCCCCTCAATGTAGTCTGAACAACGTTTGGCTGAAAAATGATTATTCAGACTTAGAAATATAAATCGTCCAGAAAAGAATATCAAAACGGACCTTAAAATCTATTTCGAATAATGCATTAAATAATTGAAATTTCATATGCACATTTTTTGTCTTGTTATGAAATGCGGAGGCCCATTCAAGCGTTGGGCCTTTGGCTATCATTTGATTTTTTAGCTTTTTATTTTTTGTGATATTACCTATTGTGAATGGTAGTGCAATACTGATACAACGGAAATAAATAAACTGTGTTATTTTTTACAGTTTTTTTTTTCATTTTACCGTATACGTCTTTATTACTAATATTATGTATATGTGAGTTTAAAATACAACCTTTGAAGTTTACAACTTAGCAAGTGTCCCTTACATTTTATGTCAAAAGGTTTTATTCCGAGGCTAGAGTCTAGTCCGCGTCAGCTTTTACAAATTGTGTTTTTAGTAGAACATAATAGGTTTTTCAAAGTCCATACTATAAGAGATATGTTTCTGGAGCCTATTTTCATCTTTTGGAAAATTGGGTTGCGGCATTCTTGTGTATACCGCTCTTAGTCTGAGGATTATGCTCATGGCGGGTCGTTTTTTAGTTGGACATAAAAGGATTCAGAATCTTTCAAGGTCTACGGAACATAACGGTTGTCAGACTGCTTTGTATTTAGGAAGAAATATTTTGATCCAGTTGAGTACTTAATGGCATACATTTTTATTCATTATTTTGATATTTAGCTTCTGCTCTCTCACCATTTCAAAAGATTTTTTCAAATTGTACCCAATCAATAGAAATTGGCTTTTGTTTCTTACTTGATATTATGTTAATTGTACAATTCAAAATATTTCCCAATTTATCTTCTCAACAAATATGAATATTATGTTTGTCTAACTTTGAGTTCAGTTATTTAAAGCTGGCTGCCGTCAAGAATAAAACAAAAACACTTTCCTAGACTTACTTACCTGTAACGTGAACCAACTTAGTACAGCGAGTGATTTTATTTGAGCTGTCTATAGCTGTAAACACGACAGGTGTGGTGCCCACGTCAAACAAGGATCCTGATTGTACGTCGCTTGTTACAGTAACTGGTAAACCAGAGTTGTCCTGCACTTTTGGTGGGTCCCAGGTCACATTAACCTTAGCCAGACGGGGTCCCGCGAAAACTTTAATGTCTGGTCCGCAATCAACAGATGGGGGTGTTGCATCTATACATATGTTAAAGTATTAAATTTAGAACAACTATCCTTGACTTTTTATTGTGTAGGGTAATGTACAGTAGCCATATATGAGAGATGTGGATGTTGCAGTACAATGAGTGTTGTGGTTTGTGAGTAGTTGTATCTGGGATTGGATGTTGAATGTAGTGGTATTCATATGGTGTCTTGTTTGTTCTGTGTAACATTGTTGGAGTTGGCAATGATTTTAGGGCGTTATGTGATGGTGTGTTTGGTTAAAGTAGTTTTTGTTTAACCGTTTTTCGAACGCTGTAATAATTATTTAGCTCTTTTTGTAGAAAAAGTTTATAAATATAAATAAATCATAAAATATTTAATATAAATGAAATACAAACGTTAGAAAATATCATTGAAAGTCTTTTAATTATATTTTTACGATTTATGATTTCCCGTCTACATTCAACATAATTCTTTGATTACAATTTTGCTTGATTGATTAACTTTAGTTTCATTTTCAATAAATGATTTTTCTACTCCTTATTTGTGTTTTGTGTTGCATGCTGGGTTGTGTAGTGTATAGGGAAGAGTGTGTGTGGGGGGTTTGTGAGATTAGTGTAAATTTGTGTTTATTAACCGCTGGAGCGTCAGGTGTTTTATTAAATGGGTCGAGTGTGGGGTGGGTTTGTAAAGAGGGGTGTTGGTTTTTATTTGGTGCATAGTTCAAAGTGTTGTGCCCGGTTTATATATATATATATATATATATATATATATATATATATATATATATATATATATATATATATATATATATATATATATATATATATATATATATATATGTAGAGAGAGAGAAAGAGAGAAACAGAGAGTGAGAGAGAGAAACAGAGAGAAAGAAAGAGAGAGAGAGGTAGTGATGGAGAGAGAGATCCAACATATTACCGTTGCAGATTCCTGATAATGACCATTTTTTGTTAAACTGACAAGATATTGAGTCGTTTCCGTCTGTTTCATAGCCGTCACTACATGTTAAAGCACACATAGATTTGTAGCTAAAGCGTTGGTCATCACAATCGAAAGATCCATTCTTGACATTGGGCAGCTTGCCACATCTTATCGCTGTGGAATATTTCGAAGTAAATGTCGGTTTTGTCACTGTAGGCTACTCCTTCAATAACTTTAGTACGGATTAAGGAAAATAACTTGCTTACTCCTATAAAAAATTAAATATATGTTTAAAATAACCTTGGCATTCGGGTTTCGCTGATGACCAGGACTGTGTTTCGAGGCATTCAGCACTATCAGATCCATTTATTTTGTAACCATCGTTGCAAGTATAGCTGCACACACTGCCATAAATGTTTTTGTTCTCCGAGGGAAAGCAGTTTGCAACTCCATGAAGTATGTTTGTGTTAGTTAAAGGACATCGACGAACTTGCAAATAATACATTTCATTGTGTTACGTATTAAGAAGCTTTAGTGTTTTTAATTTTTTTTTTTTTTTTTTCCCGTAAATTCCAAAGACACATTGGGCAGATAAAGTAGAGAGCGTCATCATACAGAGGACCAGTGTGGCCAACACTATGCCAAACCGCCTAAGTTTTCTGAACGTTAATCAGAGCTTAATGGACCAGTAGCGTAGCAAGGGGCGGGAGTCGGGGGGGACATATGTCCCCGGGCGCCGACCTTAGGGGGGCGCCAAATTGAAAGTTTGAGGGGGGGGGGTGCAAATGAAAAGTTCGAGGGGGGGTGCAAATGAAAAGTTCGAGGGGGGGGGGGGTGCAAATCGAAAATTTGCTCCCAAGGGGGCGCCAAATTGAAAGTATGTCCCCGGGCGCCGGGAAGGGTCGCTACGCCTCTGTAATGGACTCAGTAACATCCTATATACTATGCAATTCTTATTTGTGAATTTTGGTGTAGCATTCGCGAGCTAATAACCTGACCCCACCATCCCATTAAAAAAATGAGCACAGTTGATTCATTTCCGTGGGATCAATATTACACTACCATTTACAGTAGGTTATATCACAAAAAATGTCCACATTTGTGCAAAGCAAATAAAAAAAAAGAAATTCGAATTAATGTAAATTACCTGTAACAGAAAAAGAAAATGAGCAAGTAGCCATTAAGCCTTTGCTGTCTTTTGCCATGTAGGAGATCAGATGTGTTCCTTCTCCGTGTCGAGTGCCTGGTAAATTTCCCTGTGTCTGTGTAATTCTGTTTTACATTTTAAACATAAAAAACTTTCAAATGAATTTTTGCATTAAAATGCAGTCGATAAAACTTGTGCTAATTTTTTTTTCAAAATGAATTAGTAAATTCAAATATTAGAACAGTAATGAAAATAAACATTCTAGTTGGTTCGTTTGATTTTTAGGTTCTATTATTCGTTCCATTTCATTTTTTGAAACAAATCATTAATAGAAATTAATTGGCATCATCATCATAATACCGTATTACTTATTGGTGTCGTTGGGACACGAAAGTTGACCTTATAATGCTCTGTTTTCTCGGTCAGGCAGCCAAGTCCAATTCCCAATGTCGTCCATCCGATGACGTCTTATTTCTTTCCATTCTTCTCCCTCCTGTTGCAGTGCCTTCAATATTATTTTAGCAGTTTGTGACATGCCCATGCCATACTTTGCTCATTAGACTCTTAAATGAACCAATTGCATTAGCGATTATTTCTCTGACATAATCATTAGTTATTTGATCTCTTTATGAGATCTCAATGAGTCTGCGTAGATATATAATTTCCAGGATTTCATTTCTTCTCTGAAGGTCTGCGTTGAGGGTCCATTTCTAGCTTCAATGTTGAAGGACTGACACCACCAATAACAACATGAGTTAAACTTAATGGAGATACGGTCACGGCAAATGTTTCTTAGGCTACTAAGTGCTGTTGTTTGAGCGAGCATTTCCTGCAATTATTTCTTGCCTCGTTTGAGAAATTAATAGGCCCTATTTATTTCATAAGAAATACAGTAGCGTTTGTTTGTTTATGCCTTTCTTTCCTTTGAAGCGTACTTTTTAATACATGTTTACACCGTTGCAATATAATGAGTTTGTATGTGTGTGTGTGTGTGTGTGTGTGTGTGTGTGTGTGTGTGTTAGTCGGGGGAGGGCTGTATGGTGTTAAATTAGCCGAACACTCACACTAGGTTGTAGGAATAGTTTACGTTTCTAGAGTGGAAAATTAATGGCATCTTTATTGTTGAATAGAGCAATGGTTATGACCCTAAATGAAATTAGTGAGTATAATAATATATTAAAATTATATCCGCGGAAATAGTCTATAAGACATTTTTTATTTGAGCATATTATTAATGTTTCAGTATATATATATATATATATATATATATATATATATATATATATATATATATATATATATATATATATATATATATTGGTTTAGTTTGCTATGCCTTAATCTTACCCCAAAGCACCATCTTCTGGATCTTTAGCAGTAGCTGTCGCCCATGCGACCGGAATCTTATCCTCACCCGCATTAGTGTAGTAAACTTTTCCATCTATATCTTTGGGACATGTTATAAAAGGTGGCCTGTTTTCTGAAAAGAACGATAGTTTATAAATCATAATACCGGAAATTCATAAAATTTAGACTCTCTATGAAATACCTAAGCAATTAATGCCATCCCAGTCGTTTTCAGACATTGTATAAAATGTCAGTCGTTATTTAATTTTCCTAGGCATTATATAAAATTTCAAATGTGTGATATGCCCAGATTGCAAATGTTTTTGTTAATAAGCAGTCAAAAAACGAAACAAATATAAAAAACCCTTTATAGCTATAGTCTTATAGAAGCATTGAAAATAAGAAAATAAAACTAATATGCCTCATTTCATAAAAGCTTGCGTCGCTGAGATATGAAAAATATGTTATGAGCGACCAACGCTTTTATAAAAAAGAGATTTGTTGTATTTTCTTATTTTTAGTGCATTTAAAAGCATGTTGCTTTTAAGGTATTTTCTATTTGTTTTATTATCTACTTTTTAGTGATTTCTTTATTTATAAACACCATCAGTTGTATGCGATTTCTGTAAGATGAGTATCTGCCCTGTGACCACAATTGATAGACAAAAGCATGCACATAAGGTGAAAGATATTTCATAATCCTGCTACCTTCCTTTAGTTTCAAATCGTTTAAAAGCTATATTATCTGAACCCAATTCGTATCTGGAAATTTCGAACGAAATCACTACATTATTAGTGGATCAAAATTAAGTTACGAGATACACCACCAACCCAAAACAAAGAAACAGACGTTGCGAACTAAATCATCATCATTTCCCGTTCGTGCCCAATACACACTGGAGGATGAATTAGAATACATCTGCTTCAGAGACCTCGGCATATGAGGATAGTGTGGCCAGCACTATGTCCAGCCGCATTTCTTTCCCTAACGTGAGTTAGGTACCCATCAGAGCTGGTTGGACTCAGGGACGATCCACTGATTTGAACCTGAATCCGAACTCGAGACTCTCGAGTTAACAGCCTATCTCACTAACGCTAGACCACGCTGTCCCATTGTGAACTAAATAAAAGCTTTTATAAATACAAAATGAACAACATGATAGCTTTACTGTGAGAACAAAGGAATCAGTAGTGTTATATATGATAATTTGTTGCAGCACGGAAGGCTGGAATGGCATTTTGAATTGCACTTTATTTTATTTTTTGCGCAAAGCCATTTGTTATTTAATCATACACCTCAAAAATACTTGGCCACCTACTGTGGACTGAGCTATAGCAACAGATCGAAGAGGTATTTCGTGGTCAGGAACATCTTCAGCCTTGAGCAAGCCTGATTACAAAAACTGAATGGTGATCTAGCATAGAATTTGTTCAAAATGCATCACACTGTTCCAAGTCGGCAAAAACGATTATCTGCCACATTCATGACAATAAGTAGCCGATTTCGTGGAAAACAGCGCCCATTGTCTACTTCAAGAATATGAAGCCGCACAGTATCCCCGAAATATGCAGATTCATTTTCGATTGTCTCTTATTTTATAATGCATTCTCAATGTTGAAGCGAATAGTACACCAAACATTTCCTCACCGTCAACATCTTTAAGTGGCGCAGTCTCGCATGTCAGTTTTTCAAACAGGCTAGTTGATTTTCAGGCTGCTTAACACTTTATTCGCTAATTCTCGGCCGTTGTTGGAGTCTAAAATCAATGCAGCACTAAACAGAGGAAATATGCCTATACAAGTTGTAAACTAATTCTTCTGTGTATGTGTTTTGAGAGGTCTGAGAACCACACACTAGGTTCGATGATCTTGGTACACGATTATAAACTTAAATGTCTTGTCAGGTAGGTATTGAAAGTCATATAGTTTCACTTGGCAGTGAAAACTGTGAAAAAAAGAAACCATAGGTTTCACTACAATGCTTTTCTTTACACATTTTCGCTTCTTCTAGCATGGCTCACAAAGGTGAAAATAAAGTTCAATGTTATGAGGCGTAATTTTCTTGTATTTATGAGCAAACTTTTTCAACATTATGTAGCTTCATTGTTGGCTATTAGCCAAATGAGTGTCGTAAATTATATCAAATATTTCCGATTCTCTGAGATAAAACTGAATAGTACTGATGACCCTTTTTAGGAAAAATTAACTTAATGTTTCCTATTATCATAATATCTTAATGTGTCAGCAGAACCGTAGTAGTAATTTTCGCCATTTTCATTTCATTCACTAGTTCGTGGATTATTTAAGGAAAACACAATTTTTAGAATTATTCACTTTGCCTGTTTGTTATTTGGTATTCTATAGAATGACTAGGAAATTATAAAATATGATAAAAATATGCTGTATATTTCATAAAGTTACCACCCATTACAGTCATTGTATACAATGCCTATGTATCCTATAGAATGCCGGATTTCAAGCACTAATTATTATGAGCATTTCCCACTAAATTAAAAACATTAAAACTTACCTGGGGGGCCGCTATTGCATTGAACAAAAAGGCACACAATTGGTTTTATTCCTGTAGCAATTGAAACAATTAATTTTATAACCCGTAAGAATCGTTTGTTTCTGTGCAACTCAAGTCCATCCTTTGGGAGATAATCTATTGAATAAGCAAACACAGGAATGTTTTGTATACAATCTCCTCTAAATGATAAAAACTAAAAACCAATATGCAATATTTGTATCTGTCTGTACAGTCTATGACCCCCAGTTATTGTTTTCGTAACTAGGCAAGAAAACAATAAAAATGAACTGAGTTTAATTACTTGTTAGTACTAAGACACTGTTTAGTCTATATAAAAGGAGAGCAGGAATCCCCCACCCCTTAAAAAACCTCGAAACATTTACCCTCTCAAGACATTACCCTCGGAGCAGTTACCTCCCCGCCCCTAGTCAATCACTCCCCCCCCACTCCCCCCGCTCAGTTAGAGTTGTGGTTAGGTGAAGGTTTAGAATTGGTGTTAGGATTGATTTTTGGGGCAAGGGTTAGCTTTAAGTTTATGGTTATGGTTTGGGGTTAGATTTAAGGTTAGATTTCTTCAGAAACGGGTGGGGGGTAATTTAGTGTAGAGGTTTGGTGGGTAATTGACCGAGGGTATTGCCCTAGACCCCATAAGATTTATATTTTACGCTGCTGGACTACAGCGTTATAGGTAGTTTAATTTAACTTGAAACTTTTAATTCCTTGACAAAATAAATGAAGCAGGTTACACATAAGCAACATTATTGATTTATCGATCTGCGACAGCGAGACACTTATAAACACTGGTACGCACCTTTCAAAAAAAAATCTCAAATTGTATTTATGTATTTTCATGTAAACCTGCTCTCGCTGCCTACCCATGCTCGAGTGGGGAAGCAGCAAGAGAGGAATTATATTAAACGCAAAAAAGAAAAGAATTGATGATCAAGATAAGCCAACATCAGGCGGTAAGAGAGGAACAATATTCAACGGAAAAAAATTGTTCATTTTCACCTTTTCACCTTTATTTATTAGATTCACACACACACACACACACACACACACACACACACACACACACACACACACACACAAACACACACATATATATATGTGTATATATATATATATATATATATATATATATATATATATATATATATATATAGCTGTTATTTATGGCTGTCAGAAACCTGGGGTCAGGCCAACCAGACCGCTCGTGTGAGGATGGATATAGTGACGGGCGGTAATTATTATTACACCTGCACCTGAACTTTCGGGAGTCCGCTATATTAGATTGGGTTTGAGACAGTACAACACAGTGCAGGTTTACACCACGGGATGTCTGTACACTTAGACTAGAATTGACCGTTAGGGACAAGTAGGGTAGTTTTGTGGGTCACTAGGGAAAAATCCATGTAGGCCGTAAAAAACACACTATGGATTACCTTGGAATTCCCATTTGCCCTTCATGCATGTCAAACGTGTCCCTCCATCTGGCATGTCGCATACCGTTCCGTCTGGAACTGTTTGGAGGTCGAGCAGTTTAGATTCTGCAGAACTTAGTGTTGTCTTTGTCAAGTCACACGATTCAAAGTCCATGTCTGCTTGTAGTTCGCACTATAATGTTGAGTGACATTATTGACTAATTCTAGTTTTCATTTTTTTTCTTAAAGTTTCAACTAGGAATTTCTAAATTTACACATAATTAGAATTTCTAATGCTTAAATGCTTTTAATAAATAGTAGTATGTTTCAGTATACTACGTAAAACGGTTCTGTAACAATTGATCTCTGGACAATGATCTCAGAGAGAAAATATATCAGGACAAAAGGTTTTATGGACAAATTATCTCATACAAAATATGTGAGACAATATGTTTCTACAAAATGTTTCAATTTTTATTTTGTCCTAAAATGGTCCTGCTATAATTTTCTTTGAAAAACCTTAATTTTAAGTATTCATTCAATATATAATATTGCTTAATTTCTAAATTAAAATCGCTCTTAAAATGTAATATCAGTTACTTTTAAAACGATTTTTTAAGGTATACCGTGAATTTTGTATGATTTTATTAAATAGCACTGCAATATTATTAAGGAAATGCTCTATTATATTTTACGTGTGTGTAATACTTAACGTTTCTTTAAGAAGTATCTATTTTCATATAGTTAATACAGGACCGTGTATTTAGACATGCAGGAAAGGTTATTAGAACATAAATATTTGTTTAAAATGAATCAAATGTTAAGCTGAACATTTTCGTATATGATACAAAGTATATCATTTAAACAATCTTAGCCATTTCATACTTACGCCTACATTTTCCATAGGATCATTACTTTGTCTTGAAAATCTGCCAGTCACTTTCAAAATGTCTCCCGCCACAGAAGAAAATTGCGTTGAGGAAACAGCAAGTAAAAACAATATTTTCAAAGCTTTATTTGCCATTATAAAATAGTCTATATACAAATAACAAATTTTTCTCAAAAATAATGTGTATATGAATATATGATGGTTTAGTTATGCTATGCTAGCGACCCAAATAAACGTCAGTATAGAGATAAAAATAACTGGCTAAAAATATATATGACACAAAATT